TGTGTTCCTTCCCCATTTAAGTATGATCCTCTCCTGCCTTCCAGTATAATTAGTTCTGTCACTCTGAGGTCATTAGTTTATTTATCTTTAGTCTTATTTCTACAGTGTTTACGTTTATTTACGTTCAGTCGCTTTGTCTTACAGATTTTAGGTCTGGTTTCCTCACCTGCCCTGCTCGGCTCCTCCTCTCGGTTATCAATCTCACCTGTGCCCAATTCCCTTAATCACCCAGCCCCTGTGTATAAAACCCTGTCTTGTCTCTCAGTGTTTGTTGGTCCATTGTCATTGTCAGTGTTGTTCTGTTCCCCCTCGTGAAACTCTAGGTTGGATCATCAAGGAGCTTTTTGTTTTTGTCGGTCGGGTTACTGATTTTAGGCTTGGCTTCCTGCCCCTTTGGAACTCCCTCATCATCCAAAATAAAGGAAATTTTCATTTATGCGACTGCTCCTGCATTGAGTGATTTTGGTGTTCTGCATTTTGGGTCAATCCTCCTCCTCCTCAGCGTGACAGAAGATGGGTCTGATTATGTGCATATATTTCTTTTGAAACAAATTTGTAGACCGTTTTTATCAGTTACCTAAATGATTAGAATTACATGTGGCTTTTAATAAAAGTGCTTTTAAAACCATTCTGTTAGTAAGTAACAGAGTATTAATTAAATGTAGAGATGCACAATATATCGGCATAGATATCGATCTGATAAGTAAAAATGGGCCGGTATTAACTCATACACCGCAAATGACGACTAAAGTCGTCATTGGCATTTTTTTACTGTGTGGGCGTCGGAACGAGCCCCCGCACCGCGAGAACAAACATCTCAGCTCTGAAGCCAATCTTCATCCACATACGCCACACGTCACGTGACCAGGAAGCAGAAAATCCGTGTGTTAGGAGATCGTTTTGGGTCGCTGCTGTAAAAAAGTGAGGCGCGAACCGGAAAAGCTTCTGCCGATCACAATTCAACAACGGATTATGAAAGAACGGGTAAAGCTAGAAACGCGCGGATTCTTCCTGATGTAAGAGGTGAGTCTCCACTTTGTTTTGGTAGTTTTGGCGTTGACATCATCCTAGCGCGCAACGTTCTGTGACTCTTAAAGGGACTTTACGGAGTTTTGAATTTTTATGCTCGCAATTGCCCCCTCAGGCCAAAAGTGTAACGGCAGCTTCAATAGTAAGCTCGTGCACAAGGCGCGCATGCTGTACGTGCACACTCCTCAACGAAAATAACAGCTGAGACAGTCCCGTGTGTGTGTGTGTGTGGCCTGGAGGACAGAGGACAGGAGAACGCGTAGCTAATTAATTAAATAATGTGGTTCTGTACCTTTCTCTTCAGCACAGCCGACAAAGGTTTAAGATGGGTCAGTCCTCCTGCATGCTCAGATCATTCCCTTCCCTTGCTTGAAAAATTGTTCCAAAATGAAAGTTGAACCCACATCTTTTTTTTAATCTGTGAATTCAATGCCGTTCGGCGAGTCTCAAATAAAAATTTGGGCATCTTACTGTAAAAAAATATACCATTAATGTAAAAAAGAAACTCTAAATTAACTATGTTCACAGCCAGAATCGAACCCAGGACTTCTGCAAGAGAGTCCGACGTCTTACCAGGTGAGCTAAAGCACCAGTGACGTCTTTGTATCTGTAACATTTATATCCTTGATGACAGCTGAAACAACGTTCAAAGAACGGTTCGGAGCGAAAACGGCTAGTTTGTTGCTAATTTGCAGGAAATATCTAGAAGAAAGTTCTACAGAAAGTAGCTAAGGGTCCTCAGAAATGTAGCTAGGTTCATCACTAGGCGTTAGGAACAGCGACAAAGTCACTGAGTTGGCACTGCCTCTCTCTCTGCTGCTAAAGCTACGGATAGTAAATGCTACGGGCTATGCCTGAGCGTGAACGCGCATGAAGCAGCCTGCTCGACCCGAGCATCTCTCTTTTTCTGTGATTTTACAGAAAAACAGGCAATCACAGTAAAAATGCCAGGGCTCATTCTACAGGACCAGGGCATTGCAGGAGAATGTATGAAGAAGACATTTATTATTTCTATACATGTTTTGGCCGTCAAACTTCCATAATGTCCCTTTAAGAAAAGAGTGAAAACGTTGGCGGCGAAGGGCTTTTCTGATCAGGAAATGGCCGGCAGTGAATGAGTTAACAACAGATACTTTTTTCCATCTTGTTGCCGTTTGTGTATCTGTATTCAGAGGGTGAGGATGATGATAAAGTTCATTGTTTAGTCATGTGACAGTAATGGTAATCATCTCAGAAGCATAAATGTGTGAGGTGTGGGGAATTGGCAAGAATATGGCGATATAATATAAATCTCAGTACAAGAGAGATGATCCGATATATTGTGATACTTTTTAGACTGAACTCAGGTCAGACGCTTCTAAAACACACCCAGAGTTACCACGAGATCTTGTTTCACCAGAATGAAGGCGGTAAAAACAGCTGCCACCTAACAGTCAAACTTTGAATTGCACCACACAAAAGAAATAAAGTAAAGTTTGCATGAAAATCCTCAATAAAATCTCTTCACACTGCTTTTGTACATTGATTTAATACCTGAACACAAAATGTTGCGATATTTCTGTGTATAGTTATTTTCTTACATCTCTACTTATATTAATGTAATATTGGTAAACATCGGTTATCCGATATAACAACGATTTTAATGTCGGATATTGATATCGGCCAGCGAAGGATTCTTCTACGCTCCCTCTTCTCTTATTCGATTATCTATGAGTCACTTAAATACTGAAATTTTGAAAAAGCACAGATCCACTGCTTTGATGAATATAACGGGAAGAAAGTTTAGGCAAAGACGCATTTTTCCCTACAAAATTCAGAGTAATTTTACTTAGATTTGGGTTTTCACTTACTGTGCAGATTATCACCATCATTTCATTTCACTTCTAAACCAGGCGTCATTTTCTCCAGCCTCATTGGAGGAAAAGAATTGAACTGTTGACAATTTTCCTTCAAATGTGGATTTCTTCAGTGATTTGAAATTCTTTGTGGAGAAATAGAATTTCCCATTTCTTCCAGCTGAATGCCTCTCAACATGTAACAAGGGCAGACAATGTGGGGAGTACAGAAATGGCCAAACACAAAAAGGGGCCCTGAGAGTTCAGCACCTGCTTTTAGAAAAGAGACTCTCAGTGCCACTCTTCCCCCTGGATCCCCCACCCAGCCCATACCCTCTATTTGGGGCTGGTTGAGTCTGTGTGTCAAGTTGTACAGGGGAGTGATTACTGCTCCATTAGAGGAGGGGGGTGGTGGGGGGTGCGAGGTGGGAGTGCTCGAGCAGGAAGCTGGGAGATGTAGCTGCTTAAATTGGACCACATCTACTGAGAGAGAGCAGCCTGGAAATTACGCCACCGCCCAAAATCCCTTTCCACGTAAAAAATAAAAAATAAAATAGGCAGCCTCCACCGGTTCTCTGCATCTCTTCACTCAGGGAGAAAAGAAGGCTCTTCTAAAATATACCTGTAAGGTGCATCGGCGCTTTTTCTCCCTTCACTATGCTGAAAATGCTCCACGGTGCCTTTTATGCAATCAACTCTAATTTTAGTTAAAACTGGGCCTATTAGGGCTTGTTAAATAAAAACAGCTATTATTATGCAGCTATTCAGCTAATCCACTCCATTTAGAGCTTTTCCAGAACTGTGATGTGTAAAACAGCTCGGGATGCAAATGATTTAAGTAAGTGTGGCCGCGTTTCACACATCAAAAATGAAAACACGAGGCTGTAAACGGACAAGAAAAACATCAATCTAGTCATCATCACAAACCTTTAGTGTTACTCCCAGAACATTGATGGCATCTTTGACCTGGTCGTGAATTGTCTTTTGCGTCAGCTCCTCGCACACCCACAGGCCCAGACTGCACACAGCGATGCACCTGAGTAGCAGAAAAAACAGACGTTTACTGTATAAATCCATTAGGAACTATTAAATCAGACATTTTATGATTCGATTTGATGCATTATGCTGCTGATGCTACCTTGCTCCTTCAGAGTGTTCCTTTGTAGCTGCCGCCAACAGGATGTTGACCAGATAATCCTGAGTGAAGAAAAAACTTCACGTAAGGTCATGCTTCAAAGGACCCAGACTTGTTGGTCATTATTAAAGAGCAAGCCCCCCAAATAAACTTTTTTTTAGCTGGTAAACTAAATAAATGAGCATCTAATCGTGCTGTAGACACATGTAGTCAATAATAATCTGCCTAAAACGGTCAGTGTTGCGCCCTCTTCAGGTAAAAACTCTGCACTCCATTTGAATTTAAATCTGCCATCGCTATTAGCTACGAGGTACCCTATGACGTTAGCTGGTACCATATGATGTCACAATGCTGCTGTGAGCCTTTATGTGTGTGTATTTGTTAGCGGCTCCGCCCTCTTGGTCTGCCAGGCAAAGCCTCCTTGTGGTGAATTTTTCAAACAGGAAATGGGAGTGGAGTTAGACTGGAAGGGGGTGACTTGCTCTTTAAATTGGTGAAACAATAGTTGCTAGGAATTTTTAAGTCTTTAAATTGAGATTATTTTCAGTTATAGTAACTGTTTAAAAATACAACCCGGAGTTTACCCTTTTCTGGAATTATGTATGATCTTTTAGAGTTTTGTAAGAGTGACAGCCTTACCCTGTAATGAGATATAAATATATGTCAATTGTCTTTTCTTTTTGCTAAACCCACCACTCGTTCTGTTGAAAAGGGTAGAATGCCTTATCCAGGTCAGGGACGAGGTCCTGCCTTGAGTGGAGGAGTTTAAGTATCTCAAGATCTTGTTCATGAGTGAGGGAAAGATTGAGCGTGAGACCGACAGGCGGATTGCTGCTGCGAGCGTTGTACTGGTCTGTCGTGGTGGAGAGAGAGCAGAGCCAAAAGGCAAAGCTCTCGATTTACCGGTCAATCTACGTCACCTGGTGAGGTTTTCCGTGTACAGCCAATCAGGAGGTGATCTAAAGGAAGATCCAGGACATGCTGGAGGGATGGCTGGCCAGGGAACGCCTTCGGATTCCCTTAGAGGAGCTGGTCCAAGTGGCTGGGGAGAGGGAAGTCTGGGCCTCTCTGCGTAGGCTGCTGCCCCTGCGACCCAACCCCCGGTACGTATGTATGTATGTGTGTGTGTGTGTGTGTGTGTGTGTGTGTATATATATATATATATATATATATATATATATATATCATGTCTCAGAGAGTCACTAGTCAGCTAGTGGCCAGCCTAGGCACGCTAATGGCTAGCCTCTCCAATGCTAACACCAGCACGTCCAGGTTAACGCTAGCCTTTCCATGCTAATAGACAGCAGAGGGAGTGTGTGAACCAGCCAATGACCAGCCGAGGGCTGCTAGTCCCTAGCGTATCTAGTAATAACGCCGGTAAAGGTGCTACTTCTCAGTAAGCAGCGCCAGCCTCTGTTACCGGTGCCAGCTTATCATTAATCAGGTCGGTAATTTGCTTCAGAATTTATATAGCCTCCTGCTGCTGGGCAGTAGTCTTAATTTTGGCTCCCATACCGCGCCATAATATTTTCAGAGTCATGCAAATCTAAACTCAGTTTACCTTATAATCCTCACTGCCCACAATGATGTCATTGGATCCAGGCACATTCTGCAGCACGGGAATCTGAAGGTAAAGGTTTGGAAAACACACGAGGGAGCCCAAGGTGGTCTGAGCCTCGATCCTTGGAGCCTGGCATAGATTAAGAAAACATGCAAATAAAAAAAAAAATAAAACCAGACTCATTAGAGGAAAAACAGAAACCCATTTCCAGGAAACTAAAAGGTTTCCATCCAGGAAAAAGCAGATTGATCTCTATCCATGTTTGTGTTGATATATAACAAAAAGACGAGTGAATAAAAGCATGATGGCTGCAGCCCTGAAGCAAACTGGACCGATGAGCTGCTGTCCAACTCAGATGGTAAAATGATATGGATAGATTTTAAATCACCTGGTAACAAAACAGAACGACAGAGACATATTCAGGATTAAACCTGTGCACACAGGCAGAATCTCTGTGATTACCGTACTGGTGAGCCATTGTTATCACTAAATAACGTCAACGCTCACCCCAACTGCAAAATACGTACATAAGACTGTATGAACAACTAATCTTATTGTAATAACAACACTAAAACATGTAAGAAAAGGAAGTTTGCCTCTTTAAATATGATAGAGTCACATTAATGTGATGCTTTTGAAGCTTGTGTGCTAAGCTAAAGCTAAGCTAAATGTGTTAGCATGTTTCTAAAAACAGAGGGGAAACTTCATCGCAAACATTTTTCATCAAAAACAGAAATAATCTTTGTAGTTCTAGTTTTTGCCTTTGAAGCTCTTCCAGCTTTCAAGCATGAGGTAAAAATGTTGGAAGGTTTTTCTAAATTGCATTCTTTGAGTCAAACAAATGAAAGACATCAACAATATGCATCATTTCCTCCCCGAAATGTTTTTATTGCTGCCACCGGATTTAAAAAAGGCTACAGTGCTAAATTAAAACCGAGTGCATATAGTGACTTTTCCCTCTGAAATCTTCATGAACAAGTTTTATGTGTTTTGAAACTTCTGACCCCACACATTTCTGCACAACCAAGTATAAATAAAACAAAAATAGTTTTTGTACCTCTGAGGATTCAGAATTGAGAACTCGCGCTGACGCAGTGATAAAATCTCCAAGCAGCATAGTGAAGCCCGGGAGGCCCAAGAAGAAGAACCGAGGAGAGCAGGAACGAACGATGGTGTTCAAAACATCCTGAAAACAGACATGAACGTTAACAGGAGGTAAATGTGGTTAACGGTGGTCCCACCATGGCTTGGGACCACCCACGGGAAGAAGAAAGCAGGGTGTGTCTTGGCTAGTAAAGGCTAACCATTAGCAACTGTCCGAGTGCTCATCTGATGAGTTCATTTAAAAATGATCAGACTTTGGTTCTTCTTCTGCTTCTCATCCCTCCTCAGGCTCAGGATCAAAGTCCAAAGTTGTAGAAGGCAGGATTCGAGTCTTACTCATTAATATGCATCAGCTTTGATTGGCTAACAGCAACACAACTCCTCCCTTTCCTTCATTTGCTCTTCCTTATTGGATCAAAACTTTGATGTGCGATCACAAGTAACAGAAGCCTGAACATGCTCCGCCATACTACAAAGTTGCTAATTGTTAGCTTCCACTAGCCGAGATGCGCTCTTCTCTATCCTGGCTGCAAAATCAATACAGCCTTTCCATGGGTGTTTGTAAGCCAAGGTGGGCGGGGCCATGAATGCTAATTTTCCCTGTGATGTAGAAAAGAGTATAGTTTTGTGACCCAGTCATTTTCCATCGATTTACGGGGGATTGAAGAAGATGTTCTGCACATATGTAACTCAGAGGGACCCACTGTTTTTCATAAAACAACAAGTCAAACAGGAAAAGAGACCTTTAAAGCAAAGGAAACATTTTCTGTGAGATCCTCATTGTACCAAACATAAAAAACAGGGGTGAGATATTTTTAATCCACTTCTTTAGATTTACTTCTTGAGTCTGTTTGTGTAAATAAAGCTGCAGCACCTTTTGTAAACGGGACGCCATGCGATCACAGGCCGACCGCACATTTAAAGCTTGGCGATGAAAGTACAGGTGCTGGCCAGTAAATTAGAATATCATCAAAAGGTTGAAAATATTTCAGTAATTCCATTCAAAACGTGAAACTTGTACATTATATTCATGCAATGCACACAGACCAATGTATTTCCAATGTTCATTACATTTAAATTTGATATTCATAAGTGACAACTAATGAAAACTCCAAATTTGGTATCTCAAAAAATTAGAATATTCTGAAAAGGCTGAATATAGAAGACACCTGCTGCCACTCTAATCAGCTGATTTACTCAAAACACCTGCAAAGGCCTTTAAAAGGTCCCTCAGTCTTGTTTTGAAGGCACCACAATCATGGGGAAGACTTCTGACTTAACAGCTGTCCAAAAGACAATCATTGACACCTTGCACAAGGAGGGCAAGACACAAAAGGTGATTGCTAAAGAAGCTGGCTGTTCGCAGAGCTCTGTGTCCAAGCACATTAACAGACAGGCGAAGGGACGGAAAAAATGTGGTAGAAAAAAGTGTACAAGCTCTAGGGATAACCGCACCCTGCAGAGAATTGTGACGACAAACCCATTCAAAAATGTGGGGGAGATCCACAAAGAGTGGACTGCAGCTGGAGTCAGCGCTTCAAGAACCACCACGAGGAGACTCATGAAAGACATGGGATTCAGGTGTCGCATTCCGTGTGTCAAGCCACTCTTGAACATGAAACAGCGCAAGAAGCGTCTCGCCTGGGCCAAGGACAAAAAGGACTGGACTGATGCTGAGTGGTCCAAAGTTATGTTTTCTGATGAAAGCAAGTTCTGCATTTCCTTTGGAAATCAAGGACCCAGAGTCTGGAGGAAGAGCGGAGAAGCACAGAATCCACGTTGCATGAGGTCCAGTGTAAAGTTTCCACCGTCAGTGATGGTGTGGGGTGCCATGTCATCTGCCGGTGTTGGCCCACTCTGTTTCCTGAGGTCCAGGGTCAATGCAGCCGTCTACCAGGAAGTTTTAGAGCACTTCATGCTTCCTGCTGCTGACCAACTTTATGGGGATGCAGACTTCACCTTTCAACAGGACTTGGCACCTGCACACAGTGCCAAAACCACCAGCACCTGGTTCAAGGACCATGGTATCCCTGTCCTTGATTGGCCAGCAAACTCGCCTGACCTTAACCCCATAGAAAATCTATGGGGTATTGTGAAGCGGAGGATGCAATACGCTAGACCCAACAATGCAGAGGAGCTGAAGACGACTATCAGAGCAACCTGGGCTCTCATAACACCTGAGCAGTGCCACAGACTGATCGAGTCCATGCCACGCCGCATTACTGCAGTTATTGAGGCAAAAGGAGCCCCGACTAAGTATTGAGTGCTATACATGCACATTCTTTTCATGTTCATTCTTTTCAGTTGGCCAACATTAGAGAAACAAACATTTCTTCATTGGCCTTTAGAATATTCTAATTTTCTGAGATACCAGATTTGATGTTTTCATTGGTTGTCACCTATAAATATCAAAATTAAACGTAATAAACATCGGAAATACATTGGTCTGTGTGCATTGCATGAATATAATGTACAAGTTTCACGTTTTGAATGGAATTACTGAAATATTTTCAACCTTTTGATGATATTCTAATTTACTGGCCAGCACCTGTATGTGACACTAAAGATCAGGAAGGAAAAAAAAAACAATCAGGAAGTGGACGAAAGGCGGAGGAGAGGCAGCAGATGGATTGTTCATAGTGGATAAGAGGGAGGACAAAAGCCCTCAACTTTCATGAGTCACATATAGGTACGTACACAAGCAAACCTGTAATTAAAGCCAGAGACAAGGTATTGTGTTGTTGAGGTACAGCGTCTCAGTGGCAGATGGGTACTCTTTCAGCACTGACACTGACATATGCTACACAGCAGACGCTCAGACTGCTTAGGGACGTACAGCATTAAACCGCACAAGCATTAGGATGATAAAATGCTTTTTCAGGCAACCTGCAGCAAAAAAACAAAAAGAGATATCTCTTTTCTTCTCACTGACAAGATGAAATACTTGACTTTAGTAATAAAAAAAAGATACTGGAACGAGAGTGCAGCATTTCAATAAGACAGAGCGATTGCCGTCTCTTATCGGAGACTTGTTTGTGCACATTTGTGTACAAAGCCAAGGTCCACGCTGGAAACACCTGCCCGGGCAGCTATGAACTTGTGCAAATCGGACAGTTCAAACACCCGCCTGCTTCTGCCAGGCACCTTAACAAACAAGTACATGCAATTTCCGTCTCGGTAACAAACACCCACAAAGACAGAGACGCGGTACCACCTATGCATTTGCGACATAAATAACCCAAACCTTCGGTAAACAGGGGACGCGGGTGAACAAAAGGAGAATGGAATAAACACACGGACGTAATAAGTAGGAAGTCAAACCAGCATCAGCACTGCATGTGGAAAATTGGTGGGAAGAGCTTTAGAGCTGAGGGCCAATTTTACCCTCATTTTGTTAGTAATTGACCTCTGAAGCATAATGTGCAGTGCAGTCAGAGGTAATTAGCAAGCAACAAACCGTTTCTTGATTGCCTGAAATAAGCATTTTAGAGGAAGCTACAAACGTAGATGGCAAAGTGCTTTCAATTGTATGTGTAAGTAGAGGGGACCTGATTTCAGGTGTGAGTAAAGAAATCAGAATTGACAAACGTAGATGAACCACATGTGGCGCTGTGTCGGCAGCAGGAACGGCCCCCGCATCAACAAAAGGTGCATTAATGTGACTCTGAATGGAGCCACCTCGGGCCTTTTTCTGTGTCTTCATCATCAGCGAAGAACGCCCCTGGGGTGACGGGGTTCATCCTGGCATTTCATCACTCCGCATTGTGTCAAAACACTCTGCTCTCAGTTGGCCAAATCAATTTTATTAAAGGAATCATCAAGAGTTTTCAAACTCAAAGAAGCTAACGGAATACAACCTGCTCATACAACAATCAGAGTGATTTTTGTGAGTGGCTGAATGTAAAATTTGGGTTCAAATTCATGCATTTAACAAAAAATTTGCTGCTATTTCAGCGCAACCTGTAAACCGTTTAGATGAACTGACTTTTAAAGATGGATTATGAGTATTGTGCTGCCATCGTAGCTTTGAGAGCGGTAACCAGCAAGCGACAAAGGAACAGGACAATAGCCCTGACCTTGGCACTCTGTCAGTTGGGAGGAGAATCCCACTAAAGGAGGGGTAGGTGACTCTAATGGTGAGGACCGACTCCGGGATTCCCCTTCTCCACCTATAAAACGCGGCTGCTAAATACGAACCACAAATAAAAATAATTAAACTTGAACATTTACTTCTGGAAGTCTGCTGGATCAGCCGGAGAAGATTCCTTCACTTTTCATGCAAAATGAATCCGTGTTTCAAAAATGAACATGTCTATGATTTAAAGTGACTGAATATATATTTTCCGTTTGTATTTATTATTTGTTACAGAACGGGGTGGGGGTGGCGGTAGAAAAAGGAAGGAGGAGGGAGCGAATGAGAGCCACTTTCTTATGTTAAGCAGGCGTGCGGCTGTCCTCCATTGTGTGGCGTGAGGACTCTTTTCTCTGGCCAATTTGAGCATGCTTCAGTGGCCAGCCTGGCTCTGGCCCCCTAACGCATTATACAGAGCCACAACAAAAGCTGGAGAATGCTGCCTGCTCTCTCAGTGTGGCCCCCCTCATTGCTCCACTCTACACCACGTTCCCCAGGCTCCCCTCCCGCTCCTTCACACACTCACGCCCACACACACACGGAGGCAGGCCAGTCTACTGCGGGCCCCTGGCCGACGTGTCAGTCTAACGGAGCGCGACAGACGTCAATCCTTAATTAATCACGTATACACGGCAGGGGCTCAAAACATTATTTAACGACATGGAAAACATTCTAATAAGCTTGTCGCACTGCCAAGCGCAATGGAAACCTAGCCAAGAGGGCATATATGCATATATGTACGCACACACGTTTGCCCCCCCAATACTCCACCCGGCTCAGGCAGACTTTTTATCCCTGTCCTTTGTTTTGGGAACTCTATTCATCTCCACTCATCTTTGTCTAGGAGCAATGGAGCTATGCCAGATTTGAATACAAGAAAGGGTGTGGTGAAAAGAGACGAGAGATGCCAAAACACAGCAGCGCTCCTCATCACCGCTGGTCGGCGGGCAGTTTTTGTTTTTAATTAATTTTTTAAGTTTTTTTTTCTTTTTCACCAAGCCGTTATTTCAAAATTATAGCTTACCTTCAAATTCTTTGATTTCACTCCCTCCTGTACCCTTTCTCAAGTTGGGCCCAAGCACAGTTAATTAGCAATGCACTTTTTAAAGGGTAAAGCTGAATGATGTCAAAAACCACCAGTTGAATAAGAATCAAATTTACACGCTGGCGCTAAACACAAACTGGAGACATAAATGACTACTGGGTAACTGCAGATTGTGGTTTTCCAGCAGTAATAAGAGTTGTCCTGGGTTCGAATGATGCGCCATCTGCTGTTGAAAAATGGGAACAACGGATGACCTCACTGTCAGAGACCTGCTGGCTGTACCTGGTCATCGCTGGAGAAGCCCTTGTGCATGATGTGGTAGAGGTGAACCAGGAAATCGCTGTTGGGAAGCACATCCTGGTGTCTGGTCATCATCTCGCAGATCAACTTGAAGGCCCACAGCTTGCCTGCCTTGTACTCTGCAGGCATCACGGTCGCCTGTCGAGCACAGAGAAGACGAGGTCGTTACGAACACAGAAAGGGCTAAAACTTTTAATGATGCTGCATAAAACTCAAAAGTTAAAATGTGTGGATAAAGCGGGTTAGCTGTTGGATCTGACTCAATGATCTTGTTTCTGCTACCCCTTGCAGATAATGGCTGCAAATTCCCTGGTTGTGTCCAGATGGAGTATCAGGATTGGTACCTTCATCAGAAACCTGCTCTAGCCAGTCCTATTCATGCCTGCTGCCCTCCAGTGGAAGATCTACAAATGGCATGGGCCAATTTTATTTCATAATTACTGTTAAGTTTGTTAAATAATTGCAAATAAAACACTTTATTGGTCAACATTTTCCCCTAACTCAAACTTACAGCCTTTAATCCATCCATCCATCCATCGTCGGGTCGCGGGGGCAGTAGCCTAAGTCGAGAGGCCCAGACTTCCCTCTCCCCAGCCACTTCGGCCAGCTCCTCTGAGGTAATCCCAAGGTGTTCCCTGGCCAGGTGAGGGACATACAGGTGCTGGCCAGTAAATTAGAATATCATCAAAAGGTTGAAAATATTTCAGTAATTCCATTCAAAACGTGAAACTTGTACATTATATTCATGCAATGCACACAGACCAATGTATTTCCAATGTTCATTACATTTAAATTTGATATTCATAAGTGACAACTAATGAAAACTCCAAATTTGGTATCTCAAAAAATTAGAATATTCTGAAAAGGCTGAATATAGAAGACACCTGCTGCCACTCTAATCAGCTGATTTACTCAAAACACCTGCAAAGGCCTTTAAAAGGTCCCTCAGTCTTGTTTTGAAGGCACCACAATCATGGGGAAGACTTCTGACTTAACAGCTGTCCAAAAGACAATCATTGACACCTTGCACAAGGAGGGCAAGACACAAAAGGTGATTGCTAAAGAAGCTGGCTGTTCGCAGAGCTCTGTGTCCAAGCACATTAACAGACAGGCGAAGGGACGGAAAAAATGTGGTAGAAAAAAGTGTACAAGCTCTAGGGATAACCGCACCCTGCAGAGAATTGTGACGACAAACCCATTCAAAAATGTGGGGGAGATCCACAAAGAGTGGACTGCAGCTGGAGTCAGCGCTTCAAGAACCACCACGAGGAGACTCATGAAAGACATGGGATTCAGGTGTCGCATTCCGTGTGTCAAGCCACTCTTGAACAAGAAACAGCGCAAGAAGCGTCTCGCCTGGGCCAAGGACAAAAAGGACTGGACTGATGCTGAGTGGTCCAAAGTTATGTTTTCTGATGAAAGCAAGTTCTGCATTTCCTTTGGAAATCAAGGACCCAGAGTCTGGAGGAAGAGCGGAGAAGCACAGAATCCACGTTGCATGAGGTCCAGTGTAAAGTTTCCACCGTCAGTGATGGTGTGGGGTGCCATGTCATCTGCCGGTGTTGGCCCACTCTGTTTCCTGAGGTCCAGGGTCAATGCAGCCGTCTACCAGGAAGTTTTAGAGCACTTCATGCTTCCTGCTGCTGACCAACTTTATGGGGATGCAGACTTCACCTTTCAACAGGACTTGGCACCTGCACACAGTGCCAAAACCACCAGCACCTGGTTCAAGGACCATGGTATCCCTGTCCTTGATTGGCCAGCAAACTCGCCTGACCTTAACCCCATAGAAAATCTATGGGGTATTGTGAAGCGGAGGATGCAATACGCTAGACCCAACAATGCAGAGGAGCTGAAGACGACTATCAGAGCAACCTGGGCTCTCATAACACCTGAGCAGTGCCACAGACTGATCGAGTCCATGCCACGCCGCATTACTGCAGTTATTGAGGCAAAAGGAGCCCCGACTAAGTATTGAGTGCTATACATGCACATTCTTTTCATGTTCATTCTTTTCAGTTGGCCAACATTAGAGAAACAAACATTTTTTCATTGGCCTTTAGAATATTCTAATTTTCTGAGATACCAGATTTGATGTTTTCATTGGTTGTCACCTATAAATATCAAATTTAAATGTAATGAACATTGGAAATACATTGGTCTGTGTGCATTGCATGAATATAATGTACAAGTTTCACGTTTTGAATGGAATTACTGAAATATTTTCAACCTTTTGATGATATTCTAATTTACTGGCCAGCACCTGTAGTCCCTCCACCGTGTCCTGGGTCTCCCTTTAGGCCTCCCGGTTGGACATGCCCGGAAAACCTCACCAGGGAGGCGTCCAGGAGGCATCCTGACCAGAAGCCCGAGCCACCTCAACTGGCTTCTCTCGATGTGGAGGAGCAGCGGGTCTACTCCGAGCCCCTCCCGAATGAGTGAGCTTCTCACCCTATCTCTAAGAGAGAGCCCAGCCACTCTTCAGAGAAAACTCATTTCGGCCTCTTGTATCCGCGATCTCGTTCTTTAGCGCACTGCTTTCCCCCTCTGAGGCGCCGGATGGTGGACCAGAATCTCCTCGAAGCCGTACGGAAGTCTTGCTCCATGGCCTCACCAAACTCCTCCCATGCCCGGGTTTTTGCCTTGGCGACCACCCGAGCCGCGTTCCGCTTGGACTGCCGGTAGCGGTCAGCTGCCTCTGGAGTCCCACAGGCCAAAAATACCTGATAGGACTCTTTCTTCAGCTTGACAGCATCCCTAACCGCCGGTGTCCACCAGCGGGTTCGGGGGTTGCCACCACGACAGGCACCGACGATCCTTCCCCACCATCTGAGCCAACTCACCACCAGGTAGTGGTCAGTTGACAGCTCCGCCCCTCTCTTCACCCGAGTGTCCAAGACATGCGGCCGCAGGTCAGATGAAACAACAACAAAGTCGATCATCGAGCTGCGGCCTAAGGTATCCTGGTGCCAAGAGCACATATGGACACCTTTATGTCTGAACATGGTGTTCATTATGGACAATCCATGACTGGCACAGAAGTCCAATAACAAAACACCACTCAAATTCAGATCAGGGGGGCCGTTCTTCCCAACCACACCTCTACAGGTCTCACTGCCGTTGCCCACGTGAGCGTTAAAGTCCCCCAGCAGAACGAGGGAGTCACCAGAAGGAGCGCTTTCCAGCACCTCCTCCAAGGTCTCCAAAAAGGGTGGGTAGTCTGAACTGTAGTTTGGTGCATAAGCACAGACCACAGCCAGAACCCGTCCCCCCACACGTAGGCGGAGGGAGGCTACCCTCTCATTCACCGGGGTAAACCCCAACGTACAGGCACCAAGATGGGGGGCAACTAGTATGCCCACCCCTGCTTGGCGCCTCTCAGTGGGAGCAACTCCAGAGTGGTAGAAAGTCCAACCCCTCTCAAGGAAACTGGTTCCAGAGCCAGAGCCATGCGCTGAGGTGAGTCCGACAACATCTAGTCGGAACCTCTCAACCTCACACACCAACTCAGGCTCCTTCCCCACCAGAGAGGTGACATTCCATGTGCCAAGAGCCAGCTGTAGCCGAGGATCAGACCACCAAGTTCCCCGCCCTCAACTACCACCCGTCACACACTGCACCTGACTCCTGTGGCCCCTCCCACGAGTGGTGAGCCCATGGGAAGGGGGACCCACGTTTCCTCTTCGGGCTGTGCTCCATGGGTGAAAGCCCGGCCACCAGGCTCTCGCCAACGTGCCCCACCTCCAGGCCTGGCTCCAGAGGGGGGCCCCGGTGACCCACGTCCGGGCGAGGGAACACGGTTTCCATTTATATATAATTCACCATAAGAGGTCTTCTTACAGCCTTTAATTTATTTTCTTAACTGATTCACAAAATGAATGTTACCTTTCCTGTTTTTAATTAAAAAATTTACTAAATGAGTAAATAAAGTGTGTTTAAGTGTTTCTGATGAAAACACTGTCCTCGGTTTGTGTGTGAGGCTTTCTTTCCTGATATTTGACAATCTGGCTGTGAAAGTATGTCCACATTAAATTCATTTCCTCCTTACGTTTTAATTTTGTGCCCGAGCTGAATTTGGCTAGCATCGCTAAAAGCACAAACAGAACCTCCTGGTATCAGTCGTGCATTTTTATAGATATTGTTGATGCATTAAGGCACAGCAGACCTTTGTTGAGTCAAACAGCTGACGGAAGAACTTGCTCAAATTTAATGAAAAATCTGGAAAATGCTTTGCTGCCGTTTTTAGACGCAACATAAACGTAAGCACACAAAAGGCTCTCAAATGTAAGGGAAATGATTTTAACTGAATTAAGAATATAAAAGCCACAATACCCACTTACTTATTAAATGATAAAATAGGTAAATACTCTAATAAATGAAGTTGTTTGCATGTTGCTGGCTGTGTAAGCTCGTACCCTGAAGAGCCATGACGCAAGCATTCGAAGAGGAGGGATGAACAGCGGCTGGGGTGGAGACGACTGGTTGTCCACGCTGATCCCGAGGTTGTCCCGGATCTGTGAGGACACATTTCAGTTTACTTTAAGGAATCCATGTGTGTATAGTTAATCTGTAAGTGGGGGAGGGGGTCTCTTTTCCATACCTTGGCCAGCTTATGCCAAAGTTCGTAAAGGTAGGAGAAAACCTTGGCGTGGATTTTAGGGCTTCTGATATTGTTGACGTCTCCTAGGATACCCAGAATCCTCCTCCACAGGACAAAGGCAGAATCAGGATGCCAACCAGTTAGGGTCCCCCCAGCTATGATGCTGACATCATCAGCGAGACACTCGCTGCTGTCTGCAGGATCAGAGAGTTTAGGTTTGACAATGAACATCTATTTCACGGTGCCGGGACTTGAAAAGAAATCAAAGCAGATGTTAGTTTATAGAGGGAATAGGATTCAGTCAACAAATGCAGCAACGCTTTAATGATGATCTCATCACTACTGCAGCTGTTGACTTAATCCTATGGCTGTTTGTACTTTCCCCCATAAGTATTAGGATTTATTTGGCTAAAAAACTGAAAGAGTTTTGGGGGGAAAAGACACAAAAGACATGCATCATCCCAGTGATTAGTGGGAGAACAGCACCCCCTAGTGGGTAGAGGAATAAATGCAGGCGTAAAGTTAAAATAAGCGTGGTTACTTATTTAACAGAAACAAATCAGTGTTTTTATTTTTAGTTTGTAGCAGAATATTTAAAAATAAAGCACATCTGTATAAGATAAAGAAATCCCATTCAGGATGAAAGATGGAAAAGTAACATGAGAAGTGAGGAGTATGAGGAGTAACAGCCAGGCAGCGGTACCCAAGTGGTGGGGCATGTGTAAGACAGACTGATGCATGGAGTCATCCAGGGGGCACTCTGTGTGCACCAGCAGGGCTGGTGAAGCGGGGGGATTCTGAGGGTAGTGGTAATTTTGGTGGAGGTAGGGAGGTGCAGATTGGGGAGATAAGGCACACTCAGAACCTAGAAACAACAACAAGGGGAAAAGAATAACATCTGGGTTTGTGGAAGGAGGCAGAGGGACACAATGATCACAATGTAATAAACATACAAGGATGTAAGGGGAAGATCACATGATGAGTAAAACAGAAACTAACGCTAAAGACATGCTTACATTATTGTATTCATTATAATAAACCATCTTAATCAAGCCACAAACTGTCTTAGTGAGACATAAACAGGGTTTCCCCCAGAAAAGGAGTTTAGCCTGGCGGTTTTGGCAAGGGGGAAGGTCGCGCTCTGTCCCGCAGCGCTCCTCCGTGAGAGCGGGGCGGGGTGGTTTCACACGCTCCGCTGCTGTTTCTCACCAGTATCAGCTGATGGAGGGCTCTAGTTTCGTTGCGCCGTTTGTGTCAGTGGACACTGTAGGGTAGGGTAGGGTCGGGGAGGGGGGGCGGGGCATGACACTTAGCCTGGAGGCCCGCCAGGCTTATAAAGCGCTGGGGGAAACCCTGATAAAAGTGAATACATTGGAAATCCCTGCATTACTTTATCAGGCTGTGCCTAACTTATTTATCAAGACGAGCCGGAAGCAACACCCCTCAGATAAACTTGCAACAAAGCTTTCAAATAATCCCAAATAACTGCTATTTTCACCTCCCGTACCTGCGAGAGCTTCGTTGTGGCTGAGCAGCAGATTCCCCTGGCTCTGGGGGTCAGCTGTAACATCCATGTGGGCCGACTGCGTGGACTGTGCGTCCGCCTCCTCTTCAAACGCCGGCCAGGTAACTTCAGCTTCGTTGAGGTAGCCATTGGACGTCTCACTGCTTATACTTTCACCTGCAGGCGAGGAAGGTAAAATGTAGATTTTCAGACACAAAGAATCACCTGAATTTTGATTTTTGCGCTGGAGGTTTTCAGCGTTTAACTTGCGTGATTAAATAATACCAAATTCTTAATTGTCTCACTTTTATCTCTGAGCTTGTGTCGTATAGAGTTTGAGGGTCCGTCGGTGTCGGTCTCAGTTGGACTGCTGCTCCGTCGTATATGGATCTAAACGTGCAGAAGATGACATGAAAATTTACACGGACTGAGTTCAACAAGCTCACGTGGACCCAAGCTGAGCCTACTCACCACGGGGGGCTCAGTGCTCTCCGTCTTTCCTTCAGACCCCCTGCTGTCAGAACAACAAGAAGTAGGGGACGACTCTCTCTTTTGAGCTGCAAGGCCAGATGGGATTTTAGGAAAAAATAATTAATCCGATGTGCTGAAAGTAACAGAATTCTGCCAAAAACCTGCTAAATTGTAAAATGTCAACAATGTAACTGAATTAAAACCCTATCTTGTATAAAAATGACTCAGGAGGCTAGTGAGCTGCATACAAGCTAGGCCTTCACAATCCAAACATCTTGGGTGCCTTCTTGCTGTGTTTGACTTCTTATTCCATTTTTGGTTCTTTTTTAAAACACAGAAAAGGTTTCTCTTTACCTTGCTGATGTTTCGTTTGCGGCTGCAAACTTCCTCAGAGCTGACGCTGATGGTGGCGTCACTTCCTACTCCGTTTATCTGCGGGCAGCAGGGGACGTTGTCGTCCCGCGGATAAACGGAGTAGGAAGTGACGCCACCATCAGCGTCAGCTCTGAAGTTTGCAGCCGCAAACGAAACTGTCAGCAAGGTAAAGAGAAACCTTTTCTGTGTTTTAAAAAAGAACCAAAAATGGAATCCTAACACCTGTTTTTCCTCTCAATCCACCAGAATAAAACTCATCTAGAGCCGCAGCTCTTACAGGATCGTTTGAACAAATACAAATAAAAGTTGTTTTTTCACCTACCGTATTTTCCGGACTATAAGTCACACTTTTTTCATAGTCTGGCCGGTCCTGCGACTTAAACTCCGGAAAATACGGTAATTATAAGAATAATGTGAGAAACCAGAGGAAAAAAGTCAGGATTTTTTTTTCTCATATGTATCTCATTCAATTAAAAAACAACAACAAATAAATAAGCAAACAATATGCATATAAACACTAGGGATGCACCAATACGTTACTGGTATCGGTGCCGATACAGATACTGATACCAGTATCGGTAAAAGTTAACAGATACCAGTAAATGATACCAATGCAGTTGCTTCAAAGTGACTTCACTGTAACTTGTCATTTCTGTTCACCTAATATTTTAGTTTTGTGATCACTTATATTGCTTTTTATCTACCTCACAGTCTTTTCCTATTTAAAACAGAAGAAAATAAAACCTGTATTCCAATTCAATGCATTTTTTTGTGTGGTAGAAGTATCTGTATCGGTATCGGCGAGTACTCAGATCCAAGTATCGGTATCGTATCGGTTTGGAAAAAAGTGGCATCGTTGCATCCCTAATAAACACAATACAACTTGAACAAAAATATTCTGTCACGTTCCTTGTCCATGTTTCAGTTATAGCCACAGACATTCCTCACATTCATATCCACCCAACACACTTGATCTAATATATTCTCTCAACACTTTTAGAGTTCTTCACTCTTTCACTTCTCTGTCCAGGCAATTCCATGATTCACACCATTCACCGAAATACTCATTTCCTTCATTCTGGTCCTTTTTGACTTTTTTCTGAGATTTAGGGCAGAAATATTTTTCCTCCTCTTCTGTAAGCATCAAAAACAGGAGATTTGTTGTGGATTTTGAATATTAAGAAAAAGGAAATGCTGTTGCAAGAAACAATTAACGTTTTTCTATGGGACGTTGAAATCATAAGTAGATCTAAACAATGACTGGTACCTTTAGTGTCTTTCTGCTGTGGAAATTAAATGCAGTTTTTCCATGAACAACCTGAAAAGCTGCTTAAAGCTGAATTCTTATTAGGATTAAAACATGAGTTTGTTTATTTATTTTTTTGATCATTTTTAGTCAAGGTCACTACCGTATTTTCCGGACTATAAGCCGCTACTTTTTTCCCACGCTTTGAACCATGCGGCTTATAATGAGGTGCGGCTTTACTGAAGATTTTCCTTCACCTGCAGGGGGCGCTTTAGCAGAAAGTGAAACAGGTGGAAATCGAAGAAAGTGCTCATTTTAATTTAGCACATGCAAGCAGCCGGCACAACGATTTTTTTTCAAATCCATACCCCCTCATACTGGAAACTACACGTATGAGTTCATATGATGCCGCATTTAAGTTGAAGGCCATCGATCTGGCAGTAAAGGACGGAAACAGTGCTGCCGCACGTAAGCTTGGCATGAATGAATCCATGGTTCGGCGCTGGAGACGGCAGCGGGAAGATCTCATTCAAGCCAGCTTCACCCGGGGATGATGACAGCAACACGGACAGCGACACTCACATCGCCACAGAAAAGGTATGTGACGAAGCTCTTTTTTTTCAGAATCAGAATCAGAAAATGTTTATTGCCATTGTCACTGAACAAACAATTCACAAACTAGGAACTTGCTTTGGTACTAATGTACTAATGTGCTACATATAACATGAATAATACGATTACAAATAGAATAAAACTTTCAGCTATAAAAAACATAATGAGGCTATGAGGCTGTTCAACTCCGACACTGAAGAAGAGGACTTTAATGGCTTTAGTGCGCAGGAGGAAGATGAGAGCAAATGACTTTTTCTGGTAGGCAAGTGTGTTTTATTTACTAACCAGGCATGTTTTGTGTGCAGTTTTTATTTTCTAGTCATCCAGGGCTTATTAATGCTGTGTCAGTGCTGTTCTTTTCTTCTAAAAATGCAAATTACCGTTAATAACGTGTCAGTTCTGTTTTTATTTTATAACCATCCAGAAATATGAATGCTGTCAGTGCTGTTTTCTTGTCTAAACTTGCAGGCACGTTCACCAGTGTTTAAAATTCATTTTGTTGAATTAAAACAACAATGAAAAACCTCCGTGTAGCGTCTTTCCGTCTAATTATCTGATGTTCTCTTTCTTAACATTCGTTTCGATGTCTCACTATGGGATACGCCCCTCCGCGGATTCCTCAGAAGCACTTATCTCAATACGCCAATCCTGATTGGCCAGTGACCGTGACGTACGCGTCCCCATGCTACTATAAGTAGCAAGCGTCCCAACGCACGCACTATTCAATCACCTCTTCTCGCTTCGGTGGTCGCTTATCTCTGAGGTAAGTTAGCTCAACTGTTCACAGACGGAGCCTTCTAATATTCTCTCCGTCGCCGAACGTTAACTTACCGTCCTTCTGTCCTGACCTTCACCATAGGTTCGGGGCATAACGAGCAGCTTCACACTCCAGTGCACCTGTTCGCTCTCTGCTAACACACCAGTTAGCCAACATGGAAGCCGCTCCTCCCACCAGAGGAGTCGATGGCTCAAGAGCTCGCCTCTGTACCTGTGGGAACAAAATCTCAAGCAAAGACCCGCACAAGGTCTGCTCGAGCTGCCTCGGGCTGGAACACGCCCAGCTGGCATTGGAAGTCCCCGGGTCATGTGAGAACTGTGCCTGCTTCACGCTGAAGAGCCTTCGCCGGCGGCTAGCACGCCAAGCTAGCCTGTCGGGGAAGGACCCTTGCCTGCCGGCCCCTGGGCCACCGCCTGGGGACGCCAGCGAACATGCCCTCCCGGAGCCGGAACCGTGTGCCGAACTCAGCTGGGGCTCACAGCTCGAACTGGCCGGTCCGAGCCACCCCGTCGAGGACGTGTTGGAGTTGGACTACGGAGACGACGAGGACACCTCGGAACTCCTCATTTCAGAGGAGGACGAGGATGACGACGTCTTTCTCCCCGTCGCTCAGGCCTCCATGCCTAGCTTTCCGTCCTCTCCCAGGGATGGAGCGGCTTCTCCGGCCGCCCACCTGGACATGCAGTCAGTCTGCCGACGCGCTGCGACCAGGATCAACATCCCTTGGCCCACCGTGGTCACTGAGGCTGTCAGGTCCCGCTACGAGGGTAAGAAGCTGCCTCAGGCCACAAGGGCGGCAAAGCCCCTCCTTCCCGCCTTCCCGGAGCTTCTCCAAGAAGTGAGGTCCTCCTGGGACAAACACCCTTTCAGCTCAAGGTCTCCAGTCCAAGGAGCCTCCTTGCTGGACTTCGAGGGGATGGAGAGGGCTGGCATGCTTCGCATGCCGCCGATGGAACCGCTGGTTGCAGCCCACCTGCACCCACGACTCTCGGCAACTTCCTCCAGGCCTCCCGCTCTCCCTGCAAAGGCGGACCGCTTCCAGTCGGCGCTGAACGAGAGGGCGTACAAGGCTGCCGCCATCTCGGTCCGAGCTTTGAATGTCTCCTCCATGCTCTCAGCGTACCAAGCCGAGCTCTGTGAGGACATGAATACGAAGCCGGACCCGGAGGTGTGGGAGGAAATCACCGTACTGACCGACATCTGCCTGCGGGTGCAGCGCTGCGCGGTCCAGGCTACGGCAAAAGCTATGGGCATGATGGTGCTTCAGGAACGTGCACGTTGGCTGAACCTCACCAACCTCTCTGATAGAGAGAAGGAGGACATTTTGGACATGCCAATCGTGCCTGAAGGCATTTTCGGCTCTGCCCTGGCATCGATGCAGCAACGGTGTGAGGCCAAAAAGAAAGAGGATGAAGCCCTTCATCTCTGCCTTCCCCGTAAGCCTTCACCGGCACTGCCGGCTCGGCCGAACCTTCCTCAGGCAATACCCCGAGCCCAGCCTCAGTTCCGGATCCCAAAGCGCCCGAAGCCTCAAGCTGTCCAACCAGCTCCCTCGGGCTCAGCGCCTCGACCAGTGTGGCCTCAGCGATCCGGCAACCAAGCTGCTCCGCCGCCGGGACAATCCACCCGACCCGGCGGTCAGCAGGTGAGGAAGAAGAAGAGGGCAGCCTGACGGAGTTCTTTCCCTCCCGACGCTGCAGCTGGCAGTTCCCCGTTCGCCAGCCCCTCCTGTTCAACGTTGCCATGGTGCTTTCTCCCCCCCTCACGGAACCCCTCCGGCAGAGTCCCCGAGCGGTCCAGGGTGGGGCCAGGACGTGCAGCCGGCTGTGCCGGCTAAGAACACACGTCACAAGCACTCACATTGTTGTTTTTCACAAACATGTCACGCTCAAGGAGCATTAAAACGTTCGCTGCCGCATCCAGACAAAATGTCAAGGGCGCAGCAAAAATCAATAAAAATGTTACCCATGAGCGGTCCCAGGCGGGGTCGGCCCCTGGCGGACTTTCTAGCCAGCCACGGGTCGTCCCCGTACACCTGGGCCGTCAAAGCACAAAGCCCCCGCGCATGCGCAGTGGTTGCCACGAGCACTGCTGCCCCACAACCTCTGGGGGGAGCTGGTGCTCCGTGTGTCACGGCTGTGTCACCGCTCTCAACTCACATGGAGGAATGGACAGCGGTTTCTGCTTCACGTTGGGTGATAAGAACAATTTCGAGGGGTTACAGGCTCCAATTCGCCTCAGTTCCTCCTCGATTCTCCGGCGTAGTGTTCTCCCACGCCCAGGGGTCGTCAGCTCACATCCTTCAGGGAGAAATCTCCTCCCTGCTGGAGAAGGGAGCGATATGCATTGTGCCTCCCGATCGGTCTCAGAGCGGTTTCTACTCCAGGTACTTCCTGGTCCCGAAACGGGGAGGGACCGGGATTCGCCCGATCCTGGATCTGAGGGCCCTGAACCGATGCCTCAGAAAGTATAGATTCAAAATGCTCACGCTCTCATCCCTTTTGCGTCTGATTCACCAGAACGACTGGTTCACCTCAATCGACCTGAGGGACGCATACTTTCATATTCCCGTGTACCCTCCACACAGGAAATTTCTGAGGTTTGCCTTTCAGGGAGTGTGTTACGAATACACCGTGCTCCCATTCGGCCTCTCGCTGAGCCCGAGGGTGTTTGTCAGGTGTACGGAGGCGGCGATCGCCCCTCTGAGAGGGAGGGGCATTCGACTGGCCACATATTTAGACGACTGGCTCCTGCTGGCACGGTCCAGAGAGGAGGCAGCGTCAAACACGCTGGTTGTGATCCGTCACTTGTGTGGTCTGGGTTTCAGAATAAACTGGCAGAAAAGCGCTTTACTCCCCTCCCAGAAAATAACCTTTCTAGGTCTGAATCTGGACTCAGGGGCGTTCACGGCCCGTCTCTCGACACCGCGCGTGGACGCGCTCTCGCTCTGCCTGGCGCGCTTCCGCTTACACAGTTCGGTGCGGTTTGCGTTATGCCTCAGGCTGTTGGGTCTCATGGCGTCGGCTATTTCAGTGGTACCACTCGGCCGTCTACACATGAGAGATTTTCAACGCTGGGTGGCTTCTCTGGGTCTCTCTCCAGTGCGCCACAGAGCGCGCAGGGTGACGGTCTCTGCAGCGTGCGTCGCGGCGCTCCGCTGTTGGCGTCACCCCTCCCTCTTGGCACAAGGGGTGCCTTTGGGGTTGGTTCTCGTGAGGAAAGTGGTCACGACAGATGCGAGCCTGTCAGGTTGGGGGGGGCTCCTGGAGGGTCGCTCTGTCAGGGGTGTGTGGAGCAGAGAGCTCTGGGGGACACACATAAATTATCTGGAACTCCTCGCGGTCTTTCTGGCCCTGAGGCGCTTCCTGCCTTTTCTGTCCGGCCATCATGTCCTAGTGAGAACAGACAACACCACGACTGTGGCATATATAAACCGCCAGGGGGGGCTGCGCTCCATGCGGTTACACACACTGGCACGCAGACTGATCCTATGGTGCAGCAGGCATCTCCTCTCAATCAGAGCCACCCACGTCCCGGGTGTTCTGAATCGGGGGGCGGATCTGTTGTCCAGAGGGACACCCCTGTACGGGGATTGGAGCCTGCATCCAGCAGTGGTGGAACAGATTTGGATCCGGTTCGGCACAGCCGTAGTGGATCTTTTTGCCTCCAAGGAGAATGCTCAGTGTCCTCTGTTCTTCTCCCTGCGCGACCGAGACGCTCCACTCGGCGTGGACGCGCTGGCGCACGACTGGCCACGGGGTCTGCTTTACGCTTTTCCCCCAGTGGCCCTGATACCATCCACCTTGCTGAGGGTACGAACCCAGCGCCACACTCTCATTCTGGTGGCCCCATTCTGGCCAGCCATGCATTGGGTGGCGGACATTTTCCAGCTCCTGGAGGGCCAACCTTGGAAACTGCCGCTTCGCAGGGACCTGGTGTCCCAAGCGGGAGGCTCGATCTTCCACCCTCATCCAGAACGGCTGGCCCTGTGGGCCTGGCCCCTGAGGGGTGCGGACTAGTGTCAGCAGAGCTGCCCCAGGCAGTCATTCGAACCATTCAGAATGCTAGGGCCCCCTCCACTAGGTCCCTATATGACTGTAAATGGAGGGTGTTTGAAGCCTGGTGTCAGGGCAGGGAGGTCTCACCCTTCCAATGCCCGGTGAATGTCATTCTGTCTTTCCTGCAAGACTTGTTGGATGGGAAGAAGGCTTTCTCCACCATTAAAGTGTACCTAGCAGCCATTTCCGCCCGACACTTGGGTTTTGGGAAGAAATTGGCAGGTCAACACCCCCTGGTGTGTAGCTTCATGAAGGGCGCGCGCAGGCTTCTCCCTGTGTCTCGACCCCTGGTGCCCTCATGGGATCTGTCCTTGGTGCTGTCGGCCCTCTCCGGGCCTCCATTTGAGCCTATGGACGGCCTGGACCTTAAGACCCTGTCTCTTAAGGTGGTGCTACTCCTGGCTTTGGTATCTGCAAAGCGAGTTAGTGACTTACAGGCTCTCTCTGTGCACCCATCCTGCACCCAGTTTGCACCAGGTGACATGAAGGTGTCCTTGAAGCCCAACCCTGCCTTTGTGCCTAAGGTGGTGGGCTCCTTTTCTCCTATTATCCTCACAGCTTTCTACCCACCGCCCTTCTCCTCTCCTGAGGAGGAGCGGTGGCACAAGCTGTGTCCGATCCGCGCGCTCAAGGAGTTTGTGAATCGGACAAAGAACCTTTGCAGGGGGGACCAGCTTTTTGTGTCATGGGGTGGGCCTCGTAAGGGGAAACCCGTCACAAAGCAGAGGCTTTCCCACTGGATTGTGGAGGCTATTTCTATGGCTTACTCCTGTCAGGGCATTCAGGCACCTGTTGGGCTCAGGGCCCATTCTACTAGGGGCCTGTCTGCTTCTTGGGCCCTTTTTCGGGGGCTGTCAATCCAGGAGATTTGCGCTGCAGCAAGTTGGGCTTCTCCACTTGCATTTGCACGCTTCTATAAGCTTGATGTTTCGGTCCCTGCAATGACTCACACGATTCTGAGTGTGGGGTCTTTGGCGGGCCAAGACGTATCCCTGTAGGTTGGTGATCGCTGGATAAGCTGTCTGGCAATACGGGAGTCTCTATATCCCATAGTGAGACATCGAAACGAATGTTAAGAAAGAGAACTTTAGGTTACTGTCGTAACCCCGGTTCTCTGAGTAACATGAGTGAGATGTCTCACCAGACAACCCTTCTTGCTGGGCGAAGCGAGAAGAGGTGTTTATCTTGAATAGTGCGTGCGTTGGGACGCTTGCTACTTATAGTAGCATGGGGACGCGTACGTCACGGTCACTGGCCAATCAGGATTGGCGTATTGAGATAAGTGCTTCTGAGGAATCCGCGGAGGGGCGTATCCCATAGTGAGACATCTCACTCATGTTACTCAGAGAACCGGGGTTACGACAGTAACCTAAAGTTATGGCTGTACATGTGTCGGACACCTGCATGTGGCTGCTGCGCCGCGGCTTGTATTTGAGTGCGGCGTGTGCGTGTAGAAAACCTTTTTTTTGTGTTAGTGCGGCTTATATTGAGGTGCGCTCTATAGTCCGGGAATTACGGTAAAGTAGAAGGACCAAAGAGCCACTTGTGGCTCCAGAGCTGCAAGTTGTGACTATAAAGTTCTCATGCAATATTGTTAAGCTCTAATCATGCAAACTATTTTTCTGTACACCTTTTGTGTCTAATCCTTAAAAATATATTTATTTACCTCATAAATTGTTGATTATTTGACGCACGTTCACACTCTGGTTCAAACTTTGTTTCCCACATAAACACATCTGAGTCGTTTTGTTTATTTTTGACCAAATTGAGCAAAGTTCATTCCTCAAAGTACTTTTTCCTACAACAACTTTAGTCTGCACCAAGAAAGAAAAGATGAAAAATCTGTTTTGCTGTTTTTTAAATACTTTTTACATTAATTTGGAACAAAAAGGAGTTTGACATAATGGAAGATCATAATATTAGAAAAGTACTACAAGGATAAACCGTTTTATTCCAAGACTAGATATAGAATATTTATAAACTTTATTTTGTTTAATAAGATAAAGGATTGAAAACGTGCACATTTAAGTCGGTTGACGAGTTAAAATCTGACACAATTCCTAAAGCCTACATTTATCAACGTCAACGGAAAATGAACATTGAAGATTGAATTATTAGCAAGACTTCATAAATGTTTAAAAAGGTGTCATCAGCAAGTTGGCACCTCACCTAACAAATGACTTAAGACGAAGAAGTAAAACTGCAAAGACTGTGAACAGACACAATGTCGATCAGGAGGGATGTTAACTCGTTCACTGCCATTGACGACTAAAGTCGTCATTTGCATTTTTTTACTGTGTGGGTGTCGGACGAGCCCCCGCACCGTGAGAACAAACATCTCAGCTCTGAAGCCGATCTTCATCCGCGTACGTCACACGTCACGTGACCAGGAAGCAGAACATCCATGTGTTAGGAGATCGTTTTGGGCCCTTCTTGTAAAAAAAAGTGAGGCGCGAACTGGAAAAGCTTCTGCCGATCACAATTCGACAACGGATTATGAAAGAACGGATAATGCTCGAAACATGCAGATTGTTCCTGATGTAAGAGGTGAGTCTCCTCTTTGTTTTGGTTGTTTGGCATCGACATCATCCTAGCGTGCAACGTTCTGTGACCCTTAAAAAAACTGTAAAAACGGTGCGAAACGCTGGCAGTGAATGAGTTAGTGACAAACCAGGTGTGTGTGTGTGTGTGTACCTGGTAAGGTGTCAGACAGCTGCTGGGTGATGTCTGAGGTGCTGCTGCTACGTGGCAGAGGGCTCTCCATGCCTCCCAGCTCCTCTTCACCCCCACACTCTGAAAGCTGACACTCCTCCAGATCTGACGAGGGAAAAGCACCATCAGGCAAAAGCAGAAGCTGGAAAAACACACTAGGATGTTATCTTAGGGATATGCGGAGACGGTGCAGATGAAAACTCACATTCAAACATGCAAATGGAGATAAGTACTACCGTTACTGACACCGCGTTTTTACAGCATGTTCAGCCCACAGAAGAACCTACTTTTGTCTGAACAAACGCTGAATACGATTACAGGAGCTCGTGAGGGATGGATGACAAATGCAAACACACAAATACATGCAATCCCTCTTAAAACACTTTACCTGAGAGTCTATGAGAGCAAGCAGAGTTACCGGAAGAGATACCAGGCAAGAAAGAGCTCACAGTGTGGAGCAGCATAGGAACACTTTTAGCAGCGGGCAAAGCCTCGTAAAGATGGACACAGTTGCTGATGGACTGGCTTCGCTTAGCTTCCATCAGGCAAAGACAAGGATAGAAGGGAGACAGTGAGAACAGCAGAAAGGTAAATGAAAGCAGCAACGCTTTCAAAATCAGACATTTGAATCAGAAAAGTGTCACAACTTCAGTTAAGTTTGAGCAAAAGTGGTTTACAAACTGGTTAAAGGCCTGAAAATGAAAATAAAAGGTCTACACTGAAAAAAAGTGTGAAACAGATTAAACCTGAAGAATGAATAATACAGATGAAACGGACAAGAAAAAAACAGCTAAATATATCTTGAATAGGGATGCACCGATGGATCGGCATTTGATCCCAATCGGCCGATAGCGCCCCTATCGGTTTTGATCGGAGTTTTCAAAATAGATCAAAGCAGACCGATCAGACCATTTTAGATTAGGTTACATTTCCTTTATTCCCAGATTATGTAGTTTGTAGCACTCATTATAATGTTGTAGAAAATTTCTGGCCAATCCACGTGATCGGTATTGGTGATCAGCATTCTTTGATATCGGTATCGGTAATCGGCAGCAAAAAACCTGATCGGTGCATCCCTAATCATGAATGTATAATAATTTCTCATTATTAATCTATTTCCCTTTATTTATTGCAGTTAAAGTCTGACTGAGAGACCTGTCCAAGGTGGCAGTAAAAATACAACATTATTAAACTAAATACAACAGGTATGCAGCATAAACAAAACATCTAAATTAGCATCAAACTGTGACGAAATTACGAGAATAACCTTAAGACCAACTTCCCCACAGTTAACTATTCTAGCAGCTTAAAATCCTTCTGAAGATCAGTGATTATTAAAAGCAGAACATTGAAAAATTGTGGGAAAATTCCTTTTTCATGCCGATATCGTCGTTAAAATTTCATCTCCAAAGGCATCAGAATCCGTTCCCAGTCTTTAAAAGACGACTTTTACACAGCATTCACATTTTATAATAAGAATAATAATGTATTGAACTTATATAGCGCTTTTCTAGACACCCAAAGACGCTTTCACACACACACATTCACACACTGCTAGTGATGGTAAGCTACTTGTAGCCACAGCCGCCCTGGGGAGGTCTGACAGAGGCGAGGCTGCCATTTGGCGCCGTCGGCCCCTCCGACCACCACTAACACAGGCAAGTTGGGTGAAGTGTCTTGCCCAAGGACACAACAGCAGGATACCCCTGGCGGGAGCTGGAATCAAGCCCATGATCATGAGGCAACCCGCTCTACCACCTGAGCTACTGCTGCTATACACCAAACTCTTCAGCTCCTTCTCCTCTCTCTGAAAACTTAAAAATCATGACAGGCCTGAGCTAAAGTTTTAGAGATGTTTTTGTTTATTTGGCACAAATCGTAAGTGTGTAGAGACAAACGGCTAAAACAAACAAGAACCTTCCCCCGAGGCATGCTTTTCTTATCTGAAATCTTTTTAAGTTTTATCACTGATACACACAATGAGTAAGATACATGACTAATAAACACATCTCAGCATCACACTTATTTAAATGGTAAATGGTTTGAATTTGATACAGCAACTTCTAGAGTCCTGGAACCCCCCAAGGCGCTTTACAACATTCACCCATTCACACACACATTCACACACTGATGGGGATGAGCTACAATGTAGCCACAGCTGCCCTGGGGCACACTGACAGGCGGGGCTGTCGAGCGCAGGCGCCACCGGTCCCTCCGACCACCACCAGCAGGCAAGGTGGGTTAAGTGTCTTGCCCAAGGACACAACGACAGCGACAGACTGAGCGGGGCTCGAACCTGCAACCTTCCGATTACGGGGCGAGCACTTCACTCCTGTGCCACCGTCGCCCACACACTTTGATTTATTTAGGCTGTGTGGGTTAAATAAACAAACTAAGACACAGGTAGCTGTTGAAATAAAGACACTAATTTATGGGTCTTTTTTCTGGTATTATTCTACTCTCTAATAAAAAAAACGTGTCATCATAACCACCAGAAATGTGTTCACTTGCATTGAGTGCATTCATAAATGAACACTGAGCCCTTTTCCACCATTCTGAAGACAAACAATAACTCTGTTTATTTGCGTGTGTAAGTGTAGCCAAGTTTCTGACAGTAGTCAACGCTGATGCATCACCATTGTGCCTGGATAGCACTTCAGACTCTCACAGAGAGAAAGGACGCTTCTCCTCTCTGCTTTCAGCACACTTTAATTACGCCTTTCAACAAGGGAGGCACGGCGCGTGTGCTACAGGCCTCACGGCTTCTCATTTATGCTCATTAATGAGTATTAATTACACTCTTGATGAAACTATCAAAAACGGCAGCGCAATGGATGTGTGGGCCGTCTCCTGAGGAGCAGAGAGAAGGGGCTGCTGGTCCTTTGAAGATCAATGTGGGAGAAATCCAATTAGGATAAAGAACGGAGGAGAACCTGAAGCGCTCGCCTTTAATGTCCATCTCTGCTTGTGCAGTAATACAAACAGGCTAAAGAGCAGATGCATAAACATGATGGAGGTGTTGGTGCACGCATGCATAAACACCCACCATGTTTGTTTAATAAAGTTCTGATTGCATGATTTTACTTGTTCGCTGTATGAATGCAAGGCAAGTTACCAAAATGACGTTTTCATGTTTTATTATTTGAATTAAGACTGAATTGCAGGAACAAAAACACACTGCTGCTACTTATCTATCACCTTTATAGGTTATCTTTCATTTAACCCGTGCATCAGATAAGGGCTGTCTGCAGAGTCCAAAGCTGGTCTTTGACGTGCTGTGGAGGGAGTTGTGGTGTGTGCCTGCAATCAAGCTGACATGGAATGTGTTGACAATGGCCGGTAATACGTAAAAGGGAACAAAGAAGGCCATCTGCTAGCCTTTTTGTCTGCTGTTTGGCCTTACAGAGGCACCTGGGGCCATGCACACAAAGACTTCTTGAGAAAACAAACATAGCTGATAAACTAAAAGTTTATCACAAGCTCTTCCAAACCCCAAAGAAAAGATTTAGAACAGGAAGATTTTATCTCATGTTTAGTATTTGTATCCTCGGATGGAACAGCAATATAAGAGTGATACTCACCAGAGGCTTTCTGTCGGACATTGTTGCGAGCTTTCTCCACACCAGGCGCTCCTGAGGTAGTGGCTGAGCGGATCCTCATGGGCTCCTGGCCTCCTGGCCCTCCGTGCTCGCCTTGGTTCCTCCAGCTCAGGGAGAAGGAGCGTGCAACGGCAGATGACTTCTGGGAGTCCTGGATCACTCCTGACATGTGAAAACCAAGCATGCTGAAGCGGGTGTAGACATTTCTTTTCCGTTAACTAAACTCAACAAAATATAGAGTTGGTTTGTGCCAGAGTTTGTTGATTTTTTAAAACACTGAATGAGATGTTTACCAAAATCCAGCACAAAACCAAACAGGATTTAAAGCCTAAATTAGTTTCAAGTGGTTTCCCCACACATGCAAATCAGATTTGAACTATTTAGGCCGATAAGGCTAGCATTTTTACTCATTTGTCTTAAACAGCAAATTCAGCTTAATGGGTTTCTGCACCCCCCCCCCCCCCCCCCCCCAAACTTTCAGGCCTGTCTAAAGTAAATCTCGTCAACTTTACTTGTTTGTGAGGCTCCGTCGGGTCAATTTTATGACTGCACACAGACTTTACTGCACCATGATAAATAAAATATGGAAAAAATGCCCTAAAAGACACAGTTGAGCCAGGAAAGATCCTCACACAACCACATTACTTCTGATTACCACTAGAGGGAGCACATGTCCCAAACAACACTAGAAGGATTATAAGTTTTTACTTTACAAGTCAACTTAGGCCAGTTACTCAATCCAAATGAGTTTGAACTTAAAATGCCAAAATCCTGAGCTTTTTAAACAAAGCACCTGTTTATTCCCCTTACCGCGTCCTCTCTGCTTCTTCTCCTTCTGCTCGCTGAGTTTGTCCAAAGGCAAGTTGGCCATGTCCAGGCCATAAACGGAGCGTGCCAGCACAGCTGTCATGGAGTCCATGATGCTGGCCCACTCCGTCACCAGCTCCTCCCAGCAGGTAAGAGAGGACAGCACTGCCAGCAGCTCGTCCCAAAGCTCCCGAGAGATAAACACGCAGAGGTTTGCTCGAACCCAGGCCACAATGATAGTCTGACAGCAGGAAGACAAGAGAAGAATAACGTGGTAGAAAATCAAACTAAGTGACAACATTAACCTCATGCATCTTTAGAATTCCTGCGCCTTCGCCTAATATGAGCTGGTGAGTTTTAAAGATTTAAAAAATAAATATTATTGTGCTACATAGGGATGGGTACCTCTGACATTTGAATCGATTCGGTACTAATTCCCGGTACCTAGGAATCGATAACGGTACTTAACGGTACCAATTTGAGATACTTTTGAGTGTTTAATATTTTAATTCTCTTCTATAATTAAGTATATATTTTTCTCAATATATAACCATATTTGATAAATATCACGATAAATAACATACAACTGTTTGTATTTTAACATTGTCCTTGTAGTTTTATAAGCTGATATTTAAACTGAAGAAAACATCTTTACTGTGAACTAAATTTACTGTGTATCTTCATTCCTTTTGCCGTCCTTTTTCTTTGATTTTTCCTACTGGGAAGTTAGAATTTCTGAGGAGAAAGCGAACGCACCATTAGCTGATAACAATGGTGGCAATGGAAGCTAATTTATCAAGCTAACGTTATCTTAAACAGTTTATTTAGCTGCTGGAGCAGATTAAAACGATGATGCCTCACACTTAGATCATTGTCACTGGTTTCATCTTCACCCGTCGCATTTAGTAAAGTGAAGCCAAACTTTAGAGCGCGTTCATGTTATTCTAGTCGGAAAATCGGAGTTCCGAGGAGAAAGCGAATGCACCATTAGCGAAATGGAAGCTAACATATCAAGCTAACGTTATCTTAAACATTTTATTCACCTACCGGAGCAGATTAAGATGAGGATGTCTCACTTAGATCGTTGTCGCTGGTTTCATCATCACCCAGTTACCCATCACATTTAGTGAAGTGGACCCAAGCTTTAGCGTGCGTTCTTTCTACCATGCTGCTCTGTTTACAACTCGCTCGCAGCGACCGACGTAACGCTCTTGCTCATGCGCAGCTGTCTAGGCAAGTTCTCGTTATGAAGGACAGGTACCGAAACGAGGCACCGTTTCAAATGACGTGAATCGGTGCTCATTCGGTACTATGGAATTCGGTCGGTACCTTAAAAAGTACAGAATTTGGTACCCATCGCTAGTGCTACATAAGCCCTTTCAAAATCTTGAACATTTTTAAATTAAAGCTTTTTCAAGTATTTCAATCACATTTACATTGAGTATATTTAATTTAAGTACTAATACCAACCCACTTCTACGCCGACTATATAAATGCTGGCGAGCTGCAAATGTTAAACGCTAATGCTAGCTTGAGTTACTGTTACTGTTCTTGTTAGTAACAATGGAAAACCACAAAAATGAATGTTGGAGCACACATGTAATGTTCCAGGATGTACTGGGAAGATCCAGACTTTGAACGAATGCCAGATAGATCCGCGACTGCCTTCTAAGTTATTTACACATGCCTGCTCGGCTGTACACCAAGTTTCTAGCTTCAGGCAGCGTCATAGAGCCATTGAGGTAAACTAGCCAATCAGCACGTTTGATATTTATGTCTTGGCCACGTGGGCGGGGTAACCCATTATAGAGCTTTATTATAGGGGCGTGTCTCCTGGGACTCCTGGGCCATTGTGAGCCCCAACAAAGTTTCATATGCTACATAGATGCAAAAAGAACAGTTTCCAATTGTAAAAAAAAAGTTGTTCTGGAACTCTTAAGATCATAAAAAGGACGAAAAGATAATTTTGAAACTGTAGAAAACTTTTAGTAAAGTCCAAATAATTTAGGAAAAAGTTTCTACGATTTTTCCCAAATCATTCTCTACAATCTTAAATAAATCGGATCTATTCTCTTCTGTTTACCATAAAGTAAAGCAAAGTACATTCGGGCATACCCTAAAAAGTATGGATGCCAAACTTTCAGCAAAGCTGTCTTTTCTTTGGTTTTCTTGTGGCCTCTTCATCACAGCCTCTGTGATCCTCAGCAACACTTGTAGCAGCTGCTCCCTGGAAAACAAACAAACAAACAAACAAAACAGTGCCAGTTAATACGTCCTGAAATTAAATTTGATTAACATAACAGGAGGCTATTCAACATGGCACTTACCACGTCTGCATGCTCATGCTGTGCTCCATGATCATGTGCCGGTAGATGCTGAGTACACTCTTGCACACCTCTACTTGGTTTTCCAGGAGTTTAGGCACATCCTGGCATGGCTCCAGCAGGAACACATTAGATGAGTTGGTCAGGAACACCTAGAAACATAAATAAATAAATGTGTGGCTGAGAAAAACCCAAGTAATAAACAAACTGACTCGAACATGAAGACGGACCTGTAGTGTGGGCTGCGTGCCAGCTTTGATGTCCTTGTTCTCGTCCTCGGTCAGAAATCCCCGATTGATGGCACTGCTGAACGAGTACGTCCTCCCCCAGCTGGATGAACGTTTGTGACCGTGACTTTCCAATTCCTTTGGGAAGACAGAGCCAATCAAAAACGCCAAAACAGATACTATACTAAAGTTAGCATGCCTATTCCAGTTTTCATGGTGTGTCTTCAGACACTCCATAACTCGTCATTAGAAGTGTTTGCGTGCATTCACTTCAAGTCTGCACAGTTTCTTTCTGTGGTTTCTACCTTCATGCTGTTTGTCTCCGATATGAGGATCTGCTCAGAGCTGTCGTCCACTTCATCTTCCTGCGTCGTTTTTTCAGGTTCCGTCATGAAAACGGGGTTCTCCTGCAAGATCCACGTTCTGTAGACTTTGATTACCTTCCTGGTTGCTGAAGCTTCACATGATGGCAACAGGAACGCCTTTTGGAAATGGAAATTAACTTTGATCAATAATGTTCTAAGACTTTACAATCCTCACTAAGGGTGTTAAAGTAAGGTTTCACAGAGTGACCAGCAGAGGGCGACACAGTGCAGTACTTAACTGCTCATGCACACAGCTTTTCAGGAACTCTTATCCTACCCTTACTTACTTTGACAAATAAGGTAAAAAAGGGCCTCCGTTGTACCTGATGGAAGACTTCGTTGACAAAGTTGACATTCTCTCTGGTGGACAGCAGAATGGAATGCACCATGTCGTAGACATGCTTGTGCTCCTCCTCAATGCAGCACAGGCTGGAATCACTCTGCCGTCGGTCAGACAGCGTGCTGCAGTTGGAGTGGCTCTTTTCCGTGTCCCCTGGTGGCCCGTTTGTATCCCCTTCAGATGCCTTATCTTTCTCCTTCTCCTGGCTGCTACCGCCTGCGGTGACAGTCTGAAAACGAGGCAGAGTTGGAGAGGACTCAGTAGACCAGTGTTCACCACAAGGGGGACACCTCATTATTAACTCATTCACTGCCATTGAATACTAAAGTCATCATTTTAAATCCAACCGTTCGCTGCAAATGACGACTTTAGTCAGTTTTTTTACTGTGTGGGCGTCGGACGAGCCCCCGCACCGTGAGAACAAACATCTCAGCTCTGAAGCCGATCTTCATCCGCATACGTCACACGCCACGTGACCAGGAAGCAGAAAATCCGTGTGTTAGGAGATCGTTTTGGGTCGCCGCTGTACAAAAAGTGAGACGCGAACCGGAAAAGCTTCTGCCGATCACAATTCAACAACGGATTATGAAAGAACGGATAAAGCTCGAAATACGCGGATCCTTCCTGATGTAAGAGGTGAGTCTCCTCTTTGTTTTGGTGGTTTTGGCGTCGACATCATCCTAGCGCACAACGTTCTGTCACTCTTAAAAGAACTTTAAAAACGCTGAGAAACGCTGGCTGCGAAGGGCTTTACCGATCAGGAAATGGATGGCAGTGAATGAGTTAAACATGATTTCAATTTCTATGTAATTTGTCACTAATTGCAATGAAAACTGCTTTTCTTATATACAAACACATTATTTTTCTATGATATTTACATAAAGAAATATGCAATTATTATTTCTTTTTTTCAAAAAACACTGTTCTTCAGTGACATCACTAGGATGCAAGAGCATAGAAGTTATCACTGTAAAAATATTGGTCCAGAAATATCTTCCACACGTTATGATGCATTTACGCTCACCTGGATGAGTTTGGGAATGACCTCCGTGCCGTTCTTGGTGCTCTGCGCTGCAGCAGCACTGCTGATGTACTTCTTCTCCAGGAAGAAAGTGACCAGCCAGGTGATGAAGGCCACTCTAGGAGCCAGGTACTGGTCCCTAGTGCAGAAAGTGCTCTCATTGTTCCGTGTCACTGGCACGTACAAGGGTTTTGGTCTGTGATGGGGAAGGTCTAAGGAGAAAGACGCCAGATGAATTTTCATGCTTGCCATTGGTTTTTATTTCCACAAAAAAAAAAAAGACATTTTTCCAGGATACTTTTTTTCTCTGTCTCTTAAAGAAATCAACTTCTATACATTCCTTTCTAGAAATATTTTCTAGAGATTTAAAGCTACAGCAGCGCAAATAAACCCCGTGTTATCCTGTTTACTTTACTTTACAACCTAAACGTTTATCTTTAAAATATAAATATGACCAGATTTTGTGGTTTGGTGATTATTTGCCCCTTTCTTTCAGTGTGACCATAAATAAAATGATTTAAAAAATAAAACTTAAAAAATGTGCCACAGACAAACAAGTATAGGCTTTTAAAAAATAGGAGAATAGAGCCGAGTTATCTTACCTAACAAAGGCTTGTAGAGGTTTGTGAGCTTGCTGAAGGAGGGGAATAGATGTGGAAGGTAGTACTTCTTAACAAGGCTGAAGAGAAACCGGAAGCCTGTGTCGGGATTTTCCTTATTTCTCCACTCTAAACTGGAGGCCTGGTAAAAGCACAGAACAAGGTTTCAGTCACACTTGCAGTGATCATTTATCATCTGAGACATACAAATCTGAAAATTTGTTCAGGACATACAGATTTTGGAGGTTTTGCATGTATGAATATTAAGAAGGTAACCTGTGGTTACTTGGGCCAGCTCTTCGGGGGAATACTAAGGCGTTCCCTGGCCAGCCGTGAGACATAGTGCCTCCAGCGTGTCCTGGGTCTCCATCTAGGTCTCCTTCCGGTTGGACGTGCCCGGTAAACCTCACCAGGGAGGCGTCCAGGAGACAACCTGACCAGATGCTCGAGCCACCTCAATTGGCTCCTCTCGATGAGGAGGAGCAGAGGGTCTACTCCGAGCCCCTCCTGGATGACTGAGCTTCTCACCCTATCTCTAAGATTGCCCAGACATCCTGTGGAAAAAACTCATTTCGGCCACTTGTATTCGCAATCTCATTATTTCAGTCACTACCCAAAGCTCGTGACCATAGGTGAGGGTTGGAACATAGATCATAGCCTTCCGGCTCAGCTCTCTCTTCACTACGACCACAGATCAGTACAACGCCCGCATAACTGCAGCAGCACCAATCCGCCTGTCGATCTCGTGTTCCATCTTTCCCTCACTCATGAACAAGACCCCGAGATACAACTCCTCCACTCGGGACCTCATCCCTGACCCGGAGAAGGCATTCTACCCTTTTCCGACTCAACACCATGGTCTCTGAATTAAAGGAGCTGATTCCCTTTCCGCTGCTTCACCCTCGGCTGTGAACCGCTCCAATGAGAGTCGGAGATCACGTTCTGAGGAAGCCAACAGAACCACATCATCTGCGAAAATTGGAGACTCAATCCTCAGGCCACCAAAACAGATACCCTCAACACCATGTTCAGTGAACATGGCGCCCTTGATCGGCTGCGTGTCTGCTCGGCTCCCGACCTTTTTTGTTTTTCTTTTCTATTCTATGGTTTTTCTTTTCTATTTTATGGTTTCCTCGATATATAGTGTTCATTCTCTGCTGGCGTATGATCGGGACTTCCTGCTCTCGATCCGGTCTGGAATGGACAACCTCCAGTATTCTACTGCGGGACCCGCTTTTCCACTGCCGCTGGAGACTGACGCTAACCTAATTTTAGGGCCCCATGCGTTCCCACCGCCGCTGGAGTCTGATATTAGCCAAGCCTTCAGGCTTGTGATGCCTGTTGGTTTGCCGCTGCCTCGGAGACCGTGGAGAAGGAAACGGGGGAAGCGAGGCGGCTTCTTCGTTCAGCTCCGAAGGATCCGGCGCGGCGAGGCCATATCGGAGCGCTGCTCCGTGACTGTGATGTGGCGGATCCAGCGTCATCTCAACTGTGTTGGGCCGATCTCGCTGCTACCGGGAGCACGGTGTACGTCTTCTGAAATCGGTGGTCCACACTTTTATCACCTCAAGGCTGGATTACTCTAACTTCTGCTTATACGGCATCAGTAAAGCAGCTCTTTCTAGACTTCAGCTGGTCCAGAATTCAGTAGCTAGGTTGCTGACTGGAGCTGACAGAAGACAACACATTTCTCCAATTCTGAAATCTCTCCACGGGTTGCCCGTGCAGTTCAGGATAAACTTCAAAATTATGCTTCTGACTTACAAATCCTTGAACCATCAAGCTCCTCCATATCTGTGTGAACTTGTCCATTACTACAACCCGCCGCGTGCTCTCAGGTCTGAAGATAAGCTCCTCCTAGCTGTTCCAAATGCACATTTAAAAAGCCGTGGAGAAAGGGCTTTCTCTGTCTGTGCACCGAAGCTGTGGAACACATTACCACTGCTAGTGAGGCAAGCACCAACAGCTAGCATTTTTAAATCACGCCTGAAAACTCACTACTTCAACCTAGCGTATACAACATAATTATGACCTCACTTACATCTGCACTGTTTATAAATGGACTCCACAATTATCGACTTCCGTATTATTGAGGTTCTTTGTAAAATGTTTTTTCCTATTTTTATTTCATCCTGTGTCTTATTGATTTTTAGCTGTTATTTTTGGGAATTTTGTTGTATTTCCTTTTTATCTTTTATCTGTGTTCGACATGTTTATATAACGCCTGTTTAATTAACCAACATTTTTAGTGTACAGCGCCTTGTTTGGTTGTAATGCCTTGTGAATGCACTTTATAAATAAAATTGGATTGGATTGGATTGGATTGGACACCTTGGCTGCACCTAGAAATCCTGTCCATAAAGGTTATGAAGAGAATCGGTGACAAAGTGCAGTCTTGGCGGAGTCCAACTCTCACTGGAAACGAGCCCGACTTACTTTTGGCAATGTAGACAAAACTCTGGCACCGGTCGTATAAGGACCTAACAGCCCTTATCAGAGGGCTAGGTACCCCATACTCCCAAAGCCAGAAAAACCCCAACGTACGGGCACCAAGACGGTGGGCAACTAATATGGCCGCCCCTGCTTGGCGCCTCTCAGTAGATGCAACTCCAGAGTGGTAGAGCCCCTCTCAAGGGCTGATTGGTGCTGCAGCAGTAGCTCAGGTGGTAGAGCGGGTTGCCTCATGATCGGAAGGTCATGGGTTCGATTCCAGCTCCCACCAGGGGTATTCTGCTGTTGTGTCCTTGGGCAAGACACTTCACCCAACTTGCCTATGTTGGTGGTGGTCAGAGGGGCCGACGGCACCAAATGGCAGCCTCGCCTCTGTCAGACCGCCCCAGGGTGGCTGTGGCTACAAAGTAGCTTGCCATCACTAGCAGTGTGTGAATGTGAGTGTGTGAAAGCGTCTTTGAGTATCCTAAACAAGTGCTATATAAGTTTGATGATTTTTATTATTATTAAGGAAACTGGTTCCAGAGCCAGAGCCATGCGTCGAGGTGAGTCCGACTATATCTAGTTGGAACTTCTCAACCTAGCAAACCAACTCATGCTCTTTCCCAACCAGAGAGGTGACATTCCACGTATCGAGGGCCAGCTTCTGTAGCCCAGGATCAGACCGCCAAGGTCTCCGCCTTCGACTACCACCCATCACACATTGCACCTGACCCCTTTGGCCTCTCCCACAAGTGTCGAGCCCATGGGAACGGGAACCCACATTTCCTCTTGGGGCTGTGTCCGGCCAGGCTCAACGGGTGAAAGCTTGGCCACCAGGCGCTCGTTGGCGTGCCCCACCTTCAGGCCTGGTTCCAGAGGGCGGGCCCCAGTGACTCGCGTCCAGGCAAAGGAACACTGCTTCCAATTGTATTTTTCATCATAAGGGTTCTTTGGGCTGCACTTTGTCTGATTCCTCACTTAGGACCTGTTTGCCATGGGTGACCCCACCAGAGGCACAAAGCTTCAGACAACTTAGCTCCTAGGATCATTGGGACACTCAAACCCCTCCACAGTAAGGTAGCAGCCCAGCGAGGGGTGTAAGTCATCTTGTTTGACGTAATTAAAGCTTGAAATTATGAATAATTAGGTGCGTATCCTTTTGAATGACAGGTAGCAGATGAGCCAGTGCTAGCAGCTTGCTTCCTGCTTGATCTAAGGAAGGCATCCGCCTCAGCCTCACAATGAAAATGTTACACACTGGAAGGCAGAGGGAAGCAGAGTTGTTCAACTGCGGTTTTCGAGCTAAAATCGTCCTCAAATCTTCGTTAGCTTTGGTTAGCTCAATTAGCTTGTAGCTACATTGGCTCAGAATTTGATGGGGCTCAATCATCTTCCCTCACCCTCACAACTCTGCTCTCAGCTCCCCTTTTGTATTTTCCGTGAATGACGAGACGCCTGACATGGCCAAGATGTGGGGATGGGAACCGCCCACTGGGCTATAATTCAGATTCAATTCAATTTTATTTACATAGTGCCAAATCACGACAAGAGTCATCTCAAGGCACTTCACATAATAAACATTCCAATTCAAATCTTCAGACTAATTACCTGTACAACCATATACTTGAGCAGTGTTTCAAGGATGTAGCAGGTCAGGTCATCTGCAGTTTTCTCTCCCACCACAGCTGGAACCAGTGGGGTAATTTCCTCAGGAACCACCTTGGCTGCTCGGTTTAAAAAATATACATCAAAAGGAAACAAATTACCACCAAGGATAAACTACAAACACTAAACTGTTATTGTAAATGCTTCACACAGGTGTGTGTGTGTGTGTGTGTGTGTGTGTGTGTGTGTGTGTGTGTGTTTAGGTCTCTTCTCACCATCCGGGGGGTTAGAAAATGGATTGTAAATGATTGTGTCAAGAGTGCACGGTCCTCTGGAAGAGGGAACAGCAGGGAATCCTGGAATTAGACAGGCGAAGATGAGGAACTGCTCCTCAGCACAGTTGTCCCTTAGGGCCTGCAGCCAGAGCAGGAAGAGACGAATTCCCTCACAGCGGATCTGTGTGGAAGAAAAAGTTGGATTAATGTGGTAAATTTACATGGAAATATGTTTGAGGTGATGTTATGGTCCACAGTAACGATGGAGTCATACACATGGGCAAAAACCAGAGTTCTGCAACAAAACACTTACCTTGAATGAATTTCCAGTGTGTAGAAGTTTTTTTAGGATAGACCCTAGAAGAAAAAAGTGCATTAGGAACTCTAGCTGAATAAAAATGAAAGAATTCCTTCAAACGACAAACAAAACCAAACAAACAGCAAAAATTTCAATCTCCAAATCAAATTTGATGATCACGACACACCAATGAGTAAAGTAGCGTGGCTTCACTATTTCGGAACACCAGTTGGTTAAAAATGTGCTAAACCAGATTTAATATGGTTCCATGACAATTCTAATATTACATTACAGGACGCTTAACTCATTCACTGCCAATGATTAAAGTCGTCATTTTAAATCCAACTGCTCACCGCCATTTTTTTTAACAGGGTATCTGCAGGTTTAAGGGAGCCAATTTTAAGACTTTTTAAGACCTTTTTTTAAGGCCACTTTGACCAAATTTAAGCAATTTGTTTTTTAAATTAAATTTAAGCCATAATTTCCTGCTATTGCCTGGAACCGGTGCCAACCACGTCGCGAACGTGGGACTTGCCATCCAGTTACTATTAAGCTTGCAATTCCCCATGGCGCAAGCTCCCACTAGCTTAACCAGCTAATGCGCTCATCTAAAAATAGCCCCCTTTCACAACCAACTGAATGTGTACGGTTCCGCTTACGCCAATATCATACACAAAAAATGCTGAACACTAACTAGAAATTCACAAAATTTTATAGAAATAAAAGAATCTTGTTTATTGGGTCTTTGGTAATTTAAGACCTTTGGAAACTCTATTTAAGGATTATTTGTCATTTTTAAGGCCTTAAATTTGCAAAAGCAAATTTAAGACTTTTCAAGGACCCGCAGATACCCTGTTTAACTGTGTGGGCATCGGATCAAGCCCCAGCACAGTGAGAACAAGCATCCCAGCTCTAAAGCGGATTTTCATTCACGTCACGTGATCAGGAAGCAGAAACTCCATGTGTTAGGAGACTGTTTTGGACCATTGCTGTAAAAAACGTGAGGAGTAAACCGGAAAAGATTCTGCCGATCACAATTCAACTACGGATTATGAAAGAACGGATAATGCTGGAAACGTGCGGACTCTTCCTGATGTAAGAGGTGAGTCTACTCTTTGTTTTGTTAGTTTTGGCGTTGACATCATTGTAGCGTGCAACGTTCTGTGACTCTTAAAAAAACTGTGAAAACGCTGAAAAAAGCTGGCAGCGTCAGGAAAAGGCCGGCAGTGAATGAGTTAAGGTTCTTTATATATATTGTAATTTGAAAATACCACAATAATCTCCAAGGTAAACAGCAGGGATGTAAATAACTTTGATACATTGAAATATCACCATATTCCCTGTTATGATACTTAATCAACATTTAAAAGCAGTGTACCAATGTTTCAGTCAGAATTTAAAGCTGGAAACGCAAATTTGGAAACAAACTTTTGTTTGTCCATGGTTCTCGACCGGAAAAGGGTGGCTTGCCAACTCCGGGTCGGGAGAGAGGTCCTACCTCAAGTGGAGGAGTTTAAGTATCTTGGGGTCTTGTTCACGAGTGAGGGTAGGAGGGATCGGGAGATCGACAGGCGGATTGGTTCAGCGTCTGCATCACTCCAGGGGCCCCCGGGTCGACCCAGGACACGTTGGAGAGGTTACATCTCCAATCTGGTCCGAGAATGCCTTGGGGTCCTGCCGGAGGAGCTGGTGGAGGTGGCCGGGGAGAGGACGGTCTGGAGCTCCTTAATTGGGATACTGCCCCCGCGACCCGACCCGGATAAGCGGAAGAAGACGACAACGACTTTTGTTTTCATGCCTCTTAAAGCTCTAACATCGCATAGTTATAAATATATTGTGGAGGTAAAAAATAAATTGTAATAATTAATAAAGTGGTTCTCTCTCGTGTGTCTAAAAACGTCCACCAGCAACACGTTTCAGACCATCTGGTTGTCGGTCTCGCTGAACCGCCACACTTCCCTGGGTCTTCCACTCATTACACACTCACACAGAACACAGTGGGGTGAGAGGTTCGCCACTCAATAAACCAAAGAAGGAGAAACAGCCGGCTGCTACCACTTCAGCTTCAGGACAAACTACCAAAAACGAAAAACACCTTTTGGAGTCACGGACAACAAAAGATGTTTGGACCTAGAAAATTGTGACAGAAGATGTTTGGACCTAGAAAATTGTGACAGAAGATGTTTGGACCTAGAAAATTGTGACTGGTGTTTAGCGCTATCTCGCTGGTTTCCGGTTCTGGCAGAAGCGTCTCAGGGACGATAGACGAGGGGAGGGGTGAGTGTTCTGTGACCGTGTTTGTGTTCAAAACCTAGCTTGTTCTGTATATTCAGCACGTTTTCGCAATAAGATGAGATTAGTTTTGGAAGCGCCTGGCCTGAGTTTTACGATTAAAATCTGTTAAAAATAGTAAATATCGTCTGACATTTAGTGTCGCAATTTATCATATCATATTATATCGATTGATTCTTGTCGATACACACCTCTAGAAAATAAGATTGCTTCACACTGTTGATAAGAAAAGGAGCACAAACAAAAATAATGCCTTAAAATAATGAGAAAATTGTCTCATCAATCATTTAATCTACATTTTTCCAACGTGTCGGACCTGCTTCTGCATTTTCTGTCCAATCTTCAACCAGCTGGAGCTCCAACAGAGTCAATACGTGAGATCACTCACGCTTTTCAGACTTCTCACACTGCCCAATGACGCCGTTGATGTCACTTACTGCTCTCTAACATGCTCCCGCTGGTGCACTGCATTCTTGAAGGGCCAGTTCTTTTCTGGTCACAAAGGAATTCATTTTAAAAGTACAGCAAAGCTAACGCGTTTGTGAGTTGATGAACATGTTTTTCCTCAGAATGTCGGTTTAAATGGCTCGTGAAAAACATCTGTGACCTTGCAATCTTCTGCTTGAACAGGACAAAACAACCCAGTCATTAATGTCATTCCAGCAACTGGAGGAATGTGTCACTGGTTTCAAGGCTGTAACGGAATAGGGTGTAAAATGTGGAAAAATAAATATAAGTCTTGGCTCAAGTGTATAAATAACTACTTCTTGACCTGTGACACATGGAGCTGATGAGGAGAAAAGAAAATTGTGAGTGCAGCTGTAAACCTATCAAGATTTTATGTTTAGTGTTAAACCGAGTGGAGAATTTGTTTGGGGCACTCACCCGGAGTGGAGTCCTGATATTTGAAATTATAAGCTTTCAGAAAGGGCCAGTCTGCAGCGGCGATCTAAACCTGAAAGTCTGACGAACTCCAGTTAGAACTGGGCTTATTGCTTCCTGTAGAGCTTTTATGTTTTGGGGCAACACCAATATTGCGCTAGCGTAATCCAATTACAAATTAGCATTTGAAATGAAATGCTAATTGGCATTTCCCATTTACATCCTCTTCTAAGACTAATTATTTTCCTCCTCATTAACAAAGACGTGGACATGGTTGTTTTCTTTGTCCTTGCATGTCTCTCTAAGGCAGTGGTTCCCAAACTTATTTAGCCGCGCACCCCCTTCTATGTCCCGACTATGTCGACGGACCCCCCCAGCCCCCACATCAGGGCATGGCTATATATATATATATATATATATATATATATATATATATACACACACACACACACACAATAAGTCAAGTCAAGCCAAGTCAAGCTAAACAGACAGGGTAAAAAAATATGATCGACCTGTTTCCCCATCACCTTCATTTTTTAAATAGTAATTAATAAACATTCAATACCATTACAATTTCCTTTGATTTAATTCTAAATAAATATTTAGAGTGCCCAGGTAGCACATAAACAATGCAATTTAACAGTTTTCTTAAAGTAGGAATGTTTAACCTGTGCGGCCACCAGAGCGCTCTCCTTCCTTCTGCTCTGCGTAAACCTGAGCTGATCACCTACTTGTGCATAATCAAATGTCTATAGGGGAAAATATGGAAAAGCTATAGCCATGAGGTTCACTTTTGCTTCAGACCGACTTATTGCTGTTTTATGGTGTGGCTGAATCTGCGATCCGCTACCACGCGGACTGGAATAACGCTGCAGTAACATCAGTTGTAGTCAGGTTCTGAGTCACTGGCTGGAGCGGACCCGACTTTAATACGTCATCCCAAAATAGAAGCTAATATCTTAATTTGACCTGGAATGAAAAAGTTATAAAACCTCTTAAAAGTTTTTATCACAAAGGAGGCAGCGCTCATTTCTGCCTTCAGTCTGACGGCGTGCCGGAGTTTGCACAGCGTGCGTGCTTATTGAATCTGTGTGTGTGTGTGTATGTGTGTGTGCGCGCGCCGCACAGCTCCATGAGCCGCTCAAGTCACAGCATCTCGTTATTGGCGCTATTTAAATCCCATGTTAAAAAATTACTTCTGCCCAGCCCAGATGTGCTCACATGTGCAGCCGTGAGCCGTGGTTCCGCTGGAACACGTCTGACCTCTGACAGATGCACTCTGAACTTCAGATCTTCAGCGCGCTGTTAATAACCTGAATGGGAATCATTCCTTGATTTATTTTGTTACATCCATAATGTTCTGTGTGTGAGGTTTACAATGTCAGAACACCTGCATGAGACAGGTGTTAATTACAATCTGCCAGAATGACTCACCACCTTCAGATTCCTCCAACACCGTTAAAAATGATACGGAACATATCGGCGTGCGCAGGCCAGAGCGCTGAAGCTCGGCGCATTGTTATTATGAAGCTAGGGCACATGCGGAGGACACACACACACACGCGCGCGCGTGCAAAAATATACTTGTTTTCAATTACATTCATTGGGCCCACTTACTTTTTCTTAGGCCCACCCACAAATGAGTTTCTGGCTACGCTAATGGTGACATCTGACAGACTTCTCTGAGCTCCGCAGCCATTACACTTTTCACCTCGCGCACCCCCTAGCGGCAGCTCGCGCGCACCACACTTTGGGAATCCCTGCTCTAAGGTTATGGAAACTCGGAGAAGAAAATCAAAGGCAGTGCAGAAGCCTGTAGGGGTTAAAATGCATAATAGTTAGCAGGAAGTTAGTGTAAAGAATGTTACAAGTACATACCTATACTGTGAAACTGCCATCTGTTGTAGATTTTCTCTGGCAGAAGCTGAAGTATTTTCTGATGACGACAAATAGAAAAAGTTGTGGTTACATTTTTTAAAAGATTAATTCAAGAAAACGTGCAGCAAGCAGTAGAGGGGTTAGGTTACATATTAAATATTTATTTTGTTGACAGTTTAAAACATAACTTCATTGTTAAGAGAAACAAACTCAAGCAGCTGATTCTGAATAGTAGAAAATGACTCGTAACCACCGCCCAAACGAAAACATAGCATCATCCATTTTCTTAATATGATCTAAAAAAAAAGGCGATAACTGACTTTGTTCTTAAGTAGAATTATTTGACCAAAGGGACATTTCCTCCTGAAGTGACTTCACTTTGAAAGCGAAACCTTGGACTCCGAAGAGCAATCACCACCTCAGCGGTAACCGCGTTTTAACTCAATTAGAGAACCCTAACCTTTCAGCAGGCTATCATTATCCCCAGGTCCCTCTGGAGAGATGGATAAAGGTCTAAAGGGATGGCACATGTGTGCAACTGTGCACCGCTTGCTCAATGATCCAGTTCACCGTGAGCAGCTAAAGCCCCCAGTAACTCAATTTCAATCAAAGCCTAATCACTGACCCAACGAGACTTTATGAACGTAATGCAGAGATCAAGTCAGTCTTTCAGTGCACCATAGATGCAGCTCTGACCCACTCAACCAGAGATGCAACGCTGGTCCGCATAATAAAAAGCCCGGCTGCTCCGGTGAGTGAGGAGAAGCAGACGAGGAGAAGATACGGTGCAAAAAAAAAAACGTGCAGGTCGAATCAAAAACTAAAGTTGGAAAATGAAACGGGAATTTAAAATCTTGATTCTGTCTGAACAAACAAATAGTTCCTACTCTTTCATATTTTACCATGATCTATTTGGAATCTCAGAAGCCTTCCCATGTTGAGTGTTTCTCACCATCCCCCCTTTCTGCCCTTTGAGGCATCCATCACTTTTAAAAGGCACAAGATGACAATCTGAGTTGTTCAACTTCTCTCTGATCCGCTGTCATGATTGATATGCATGTACAGACATGTGGCTGCACCTCCGTATTGATCCCACCAGGGATTATTCCAGCTCGGTAAAGACGCTGTACAGGCCTCCTTTACTCTGTCTCCCTGGGACAGCACAGACATTATGCAAGGCAGCGGCACAGCAGGGTAACCTTCTTAAGCCTTTCATTGCGTGTGAATTTGTTTGTGAGGGTGTGTGCAGACACAATGACATTATCTCCTCTCTCAGAACACCGAGAAAGGACAGTAGAAAAGAGATGGACAGGCTAACTCAGAAACACTCCCTGTGGAGAGGGAACGGCGGCACCGACAATGAGGAACTTACTGGCTGACATGAACTGAATGCAGAGACTGCTGGGCTAGGGTTTGGAGGAGTTACTCTAATCTGGAGTCGTACTCCAGCATAGAGATGGGGGCATTACTGTCGTACAACTGCAGCCTTAACACATTTACATGATCCGCACTTAAGTTTCCAGTGGCGGAGCCGGAACATGACACAGAATATAGGTGGTCCACAAGGGCTTCTCGCTGGCAGCAACCGACAAGCAGTGCTCTGAGAAAAGGAAAATACACCACGATATATACATATGGGCAACAAATCTAAAATGTATAGTTAATGAAATTTCTGACTTACTGAGATAATTTTCCCAAGTCAATAAAATGAAAAGATGTGTGTACGTTGATGATATTCATGCTCCATTAAGAAGCTGTACCACCTTGAGTAACGTAAAAATGGGACTCAACGTAATACACGTGACAGCCCCATCTAGTGGACAATGTTTGTTTCTGTACATACCTGTAGTTATCGTCCATTTATCGTTATCGAGGTGAACTGCTCAATTAGAGGCCGACCGATATATTCAAATTTTTTCTATATTGGCCATCGGCCGAAATTATTTTTAGAAGCCGATAACAAAAGTACATAAATCAGGCACCTGTGTGGCCAACTGCCACCACTACTAGACTGAAGAACGGACCCAAAGGACCCCAGTTCAATAAATGTATTGACGTATTTAATTTATATTGCACACATTGAGTGTTTAGCACTATAATCTTGGAATAAGGCTGTATCATCAGGGAAGACGGAATAACCTGGTCATTCAGTATATTCAGGAAGTCAGCTGACCTCATTCTTGGAGCACATCCTGTTGCTGAACCTAGACCTGACCAACTGCAGCAACCCCAGATCATAGCACTTCCACCACAGGCTTGTACTGTAAGCACAAAGGCATGATGGGTGCATCACTTCATCTGCCTCTCTTCGTACCCTGATGGACCATTACTCTGGAACAGGGTCCATCTGGACTCATCAGACCACATGACCTTCTACCATCGCTCCAGAGTCCAATCTTTATACTTCATAGCAAACTGATGCCTTTTTTTCCAGGTTTACCTCATTGATTAGTGGTTTTCTTACACACAGCTGTTCAGTCCCAATCCCTTCAGTTCCCTTCACATTTAGCATGTAGAAATGCTCCTATATTCACTTTTAAACATAGCCTGGAGTTCTACTGTTTTCCTTAGATTTCATTTCACCAAACGTTTAATTGATCGCCAATCAGTCATTCATGATTTTTTGTGGCCACATTTCTTCCTCAAAGATGATGGGTCCCCACTACCCTTCCAGTTTTTAATAATGCGTTGGTCAGTTCATATACCAATTTTAGTTGTTTCTGCCATCTCCTTAGATGTTTTTTCTGCTTGATGCAAGCCAATGATCTGACCCTTCTGAGACAGACCAGCATATTTTCTACGATTACCAATATATACAGGTGCTGGCCAGTAAATTAGAATATCATCAAAAGGTTGAAAATATTTCAGTAATTCCATTCAAAACGTGAAACTTGTACATTATATTCATGCAATGCACACAGACCAATGTATTTCCGATGTTTATTACGTTTAATTTTGATATTTATAGGTGACAACCAATGAAAACATCAAATCTGGTATCTCAGAAAATTAGAATATTCTAAAGGCCAATGAAAAAATGTTTGTTTCTCTAATGCTGGCCAACTGAAAAGAATGAACATGAAAAGAATGTGCATGTATAGCACTCAATACTTAGTCGGGGCTCCTTTTGCCTCAATAACTGCAGTAATGCGGCGTGGCATGGACTCGATCAGTCTGTGGCACTGCTCAGGTGTTATGAGAGCCCAGGTTGCTCTGATAGTTGTCTTCAGCTCCTCTGCATTGTTGGGTCTAGCGTATTGCATCCTCCGCTTCACAATACCCCATAGATTTTCTATGGGGTTAAGGTCAGGCGAGTTTGCTGGCCAATCAAGGACAGGGATACCATGGTCCTTGAACCAGGTGCTGGTGGTTTTGGCACTGTGTGCAGGTGCCAAGTCCTGTTGAAAGGTGAAGTCTGCATCCCCATAAAGTTGGTCAGCAGCAGGAAGCATGAAGTGCTCTAAAACTTCCTGGTAGACGGCTGCATTGACCCTGGACCTCAGGAAACAGAGTGGGCCAACACCGGCAGATGACATGGCACCCCACACCATCACTGACGGTGGAAACTTTACACTGGACCTCATGCAACGTGGATTCTGTGCTTCTCCGCTCTTCCTCCAGACTCTGGGTCCTTGATTTCCAAAGGAAATGCAGAACTTGCTTTCATCAGAAAACATAACTTTGGACCACTCAGCATCAGTCCAGTCCTTTTTGTCCTTGGCCCAGGCGAGACGCTTCTTGCGCTGTTTCATGTTCAAGAGTGGCTTGACACACGGAATGCGACACCTGAATCCCATGTCTTTCATGAGTCTCCTCGTGGTGGTTCTTGAAGCGCTGACTCCAGCTGCAGTCCACTCTTTGTGGATCTCCCCCACATTTTTGAATGGGTTTGTCGTCACAATTCTCTGCAGGGTGCGGTTATCCCTAGAGCTTGTACACTTTTTTCTACCACATTTTTTCCGTCCCTTCGCCTGTCTGTTAATGTGCTTGGACACAGAGCTCTGCGAACAGCCAGCTTCTTTAGCAATCACCTTTTGTGTCTTGCCCTCCTTGTGCAAGGTGTCAATGATTGTCTTTTGGACAGCTGTTAAGTCAGAAGTCTTCCCCATGATTGTGGTGCCTTCAAAACAAGACTGAGGGACCTTTTAAAGGCCTTTGCAGGTGTTTTGAGTAAATCAGCTGATTAGAGTGGCAGCAGGTGTCTTCTATATTCAGCCTTTTCAGAATATTCTAAATTTTTGAGATACCAAATTTGGAGTTTTCATTAGTTGTCACTTATGAATATCAAATTTAAATGTAATGAACATTGGAAATACATTGGTCTGTGTGCATTGCATGAATATAATGTACAAGTTTCACGTTTTGAATGGAATTACTGAAATATTTTCAACCTTTTGATGATATTCTAATTTACTGGCCAGCACCTGTATATATATATATATATATATATATATATATATATATATATATATATATATATATATATATATATATGTGTGTATATATATATATATATATATATATATATATATATATATATATATATATATATATATATGTGTGTATATATATATATATATATATATATATATATATATATATATATATATATATATATATATATATATAAAGTTAAATGAACAGTGTTATTTTGCAATTCTCAAAAAAATTCTGAGCAAAATGAGCAGAAATAAATTGTTTGCATTCTCCTCTACAGCCTGTAGGTGGCAGCAACAGAGTGCATCTTAATCCTTCCTCACACAGCTTTTTTTTAATCCGATTTAGATTCTGAAAGCTGAAACTGCATGGATACCCTCTAAATACAGAAAAATAAATTATATTATTGAACACAAAAAGAAATGTGTAGCAAAAGACAAAACGCTGCGCCAAAATAATGAAATGTCTTAAAAAAAAAACATTTTTTGGGACGTCTGTTGGTGGTAAAACAGTCAGTTGAACCCAGGAACGCATCAAGAGGAAATGAAAACAAATAACCAGGCCTGGGAAAAAATATTTTAGACATTTTATGCAATTTCATAATAAGATTTACTTATAGTT